ATGATTTAGTTTAAAGTAATTAGGATTGTAATCTAATTTTTATTAATTTAATGTATGTGCTTATTTATATTTTAAGTAGTGTTTTTTGTTGATCTTTACAATATGGTAACTGGTAGTTTGGCGACATTTTGGAGGCGATAAAGGTTACTACCTGGGACTTTGGTAATAATGTGAGCAGTACTCAGTTCCGATTACGCATTATTTTGTGTGAGGGAAATGAGAGATCATGGGATATGTCATGTGATATTAATGGACGAATTACGGTTCTTTAATCGGAAAAGGGGGGAAATCGGGAAAAAAATCTGGAAATTTTGTATTTGGCTTTATTCTGTGTTGTGTGAAACAGTGTTCGTGAATTTTTGGATCCCATGGCCGTAACTAAAGTGAATTCGAAATGGGTATTTAGTGGTATTGAAAAGGGTAGTAATAAATGTTTCTTTAAGGTTGTGCGGAGATAGAAATAAAGATGTTTTATTAAGTTATTTATTTTACCTGGTACCTTGCTGTGAACAAACTATAAGTATGATTTTAAAGATCCTGAAACAGAAAGAAGAAAAGTTTATCGGACACGTAATCAAGATTCTGAAGAAGATTAGGTAAGTTAGTATTTTAATTATTTGAGGATATTATTTTTATGCATTGTTCTAAATGTAAGGTGGAAGTAAAGGAATTTGGTATTATTGGGAAAATTGTTATTACCAATGATTTAGTTTAAAGTAATTAGGATTGTAAGGTAATTTTTATTAATTTAATGTATGTGCTCATTTTAAGTAGTGTTTTTGAATTTAATTATATTTTAATTAAATGATAGTTATTTTGTGAATTTTATGTTTGTAGGAATTTGGTATACGTTTTAGTTGAAGTAAACGTGCATGGAAATAATTTAAATATCTGACACTAAGTATTTGTAATGGTTGTGGTATGAATTCGTTGGTGACGTTTATAATATAATAGATGATTTAGAGGTAAAAGTTTTTGGATATTTTATTTATTTTATATGTGGAAATGTTCATATTTGGAAAGGGTAAATACTTTTTCGCGATCAGGTAATTTCATATATGTTCTTTTTACCGGGTTTAAAGATTGAGAAAATTGTCATGTATTTTCGTGAAATTTTTCTAATTTATGAGAAAAAAGCAGTGTACATGGATATAGTGAAGAGTGTGCGCAATGCCATTTTTGTGCAATTCTGGGATGTTTTTTTAAGTAAAAATAAGTCGGCGTGTACATGGTTTATGTGTATGTGTTATTTTGAAAAATGCGTAAGGAGTATGGTATTGTGCACTTTTTCCCAATTTTGAAGTGAATATTTGTTATTATTTGTTATTAGCAATGATTTAGTTTAAAGTAATTAGGATTGTAATCTAATTTTTATTAATTTAATATATGTGCTTATTTAAAGTAGTGTTTTTAATTTAATTATATTTTAATTTAATGATCGTGATTTTGTGAGTTGTATGTTTTGTAGTATTTTGGAATAAGTTTGAGTAGAATACGTTGAGTATTTTCATGCATTTTCGTGAAATTTTTCTAATTTATAAGAAAAAAGCAGTGTACATGGATATAGTGAAGAGTGTGCGCAATGCCATTTTTGTGCAATTCTGGGATGTTTTTTTAAGTAAAAATAAGTCGACGTGTACCTGGTTTAGTGATATTTTAATTAAATGATAGTTATTTTGTGAATTTTATGTTTGTAGGAATTTGGTATACGTTTCAGTTGAAGTAAACGTGCATGGAAGTAATTTAAATATTTGACACTAAGTATTTGTAACCATTTGTAATGTTTGCGGTATGAATTCGTTGGTAAAGTTTATAATATAATAGATAATTTAGAGGCATAAGTTTTTGGATATTTTATTTATTTTATACGTGGAAATGTTCATCTTTGGAAAGGGTATATACTTTTTGCGATCAGGTAATTTCATATATGTTCTTTTTACCAGATTTAAAGATTCACAAAATTTTCATGCATTTTTGTGAAATTTTTCTAATTTTCATTAAATTTTTGAAATCTTATGAGAAAAAAGCAGGGTACATGGATATAGTGCAGAGTGTGCGCAATGCCATTTTTGTGCAATTCTGGGATGTTTTTTTAAGTAAAAATAAGTCGACGTGTACATGGTTTAGTGATATTTTAATTAAATGATAGTTATTTTATGAATTTTATGTTTGTAGGAATTTGGTATACGTTTCAGTTGAAGTAAACATGCATGGAAGTAATTTAAATATTTGACATTAAGTATTTGTAACCATTTGTAATGTTTGCGGTATGAATTCGTTGGTAACGTTTATAATATAATAGATAATTTAGAGGTAAAAGTTTTGGGATATTTTATTTATTTTATACGTGGAAATGTTCATCCTTGGAAAGGGTATATACTTTTTCGCGATCAGATAATTTCATATATGTGCTTTTTATCAAGTTTAAAGATTCACAGAATTTTGTTGCATTTTCGTGCAAATTTTTGTAATTTATGAGAAAATAGCAGTATAGATGGATACAGTTAAGAGTGTGTGCAATTCTGGGATGTTTTTTTAAGTAAAAATAAGTGGACGTATGTGTATGTGCTATTCTGAAAAACGCGCAAGGAGTTTGTGATTGTGCACTTTTTCCCAATTTTGCAGTTAATATTTGTCATGATTAAGCAGTTTTGTTACATAAAATTTCTAGCATAAGTGTAATTCAGCTAGTAGATTGTTGGAGAAAGTGTTCAGTAAATAAAAAGAAAAGAAACATGTCTTTACTTCGTGAAGACAAAATGGCGGCGAAAAAAAAAATAGAGGGTTCCTGTAGCAGAGTTGGTCGTCAAATTTTTGCCCAAAAATCGCCAAGTTACCATAATCCAAAGATTAACCGAGAAAACAAGTCCTATTATAGCTATAATAGTAATGCTTTCAGAATTATATATATAATAAGTCTGACACGATTGGCAAATTTTTGTGTTTTCAAGTGGTACCATAATTAATTTACCTCTCAGCGCAGCCAACACGCACTATAAGGATAGACTGGAATTTTCTCAAAACACACCTGGAAAACCTGGAAAAGTCTGGGGATTTCATTCTCCTCTTTAAGTGGCAACCCTGTTAATTATACGCATTTTTTCTTGCATTTAATTTGGATTGAATTAAATCTACTTTGTCAATAGTGCATAAACCACAATAGAATAAATGCACTCTTTAAAATTCACTATATTTGTTTACATAGCGACACTCTGGTGCTAAGATCACTTAACAGCATTACTATTCGTTCATATTATAACTCAATGCATATAAATTTATATCATTTGAAGAATTTTCTAATCATTGCCACATGTTCTATTAAAATACTATAATAAATCTAAAACAATATATAAAAGAAATTAAGCAAACAAAACAAAAAAAAGAAACAGTTTTTTACAAACGATTCAGCATTTCTCATTCAATTAATTCAGTACTCGCTTCTCGACAAGACAAAAATACATAAAAATTCGAAATATCTGTATAAAAAATTACGAAGTAAATCTTAAGCACTTATTTCCTCGAATAAATTCCAGACTGGATTAAACATGATTTAATTCACAATAATAAAAGAAGGTGGTTTCTTTGTTGTTGTGAAGTTTAGTTTCCCTAGATTGGCAACAAATCCACTATTTTGCTGCCAAGTTTGAAATGTAAACAAACATGTCCACCATCCCAAAATAAATTAGGATTAGCTGTACTTCAACAACTTTTAAATTGTTCATAACTCCACAAATATTTCATGCAGATTTACTAACGGCATAAAAACCTTAACTGAAAGAGAAGAACAACATAATTCAATCATTTTTAAAGCAAAAAATGCACAACGTACAAACATATAAGAGTAAAGAAGCTGAGATTACTGAGCCGATTAACAATGTAGATATATATGTAAGATATTTTTTAAAAATGCAAATCAAAATTATAATTTAAAATGCCTCTTAATTGCACATTTTAAAATTGAGTGCTTTGTCTCTAGTAATAACTTTCTCTAAAATGCATCATATCTGAAAATGTATTCGACATTATGTCATCTTGAAACTTCTGCATTGCGTATAAGTTTTAGCCAATCAGATTAACAAAAAATTTTACTATAAAATATTGTTGCAATCCTACCCTACCCTCTCTTTCTCTGCTTTTGCTTGCTCTGAAGGCTCTTGCTTTGCTGCATTTGTTTAAAATGTAATGTGCCATCATCAAAATTGTGTGGTGCAGATTGCCCCCCATTGTGAAGTGCCACAAGTAATAAAGGTATATTTGGAATATTGAGGGATTTTTGTGATTCTTCAAAAGTTCCCAACTGCCAAACTAAATTTTATCATCATATATATACATATATTTATATATATATATGATGATAAAATATTTATATATGTATGGTGCAGCCGATTGCAACCAAAATATGAGGTGTACATCTACATGTTATAGCAGTCCTCTATATAAAATTTCAACGTTCTGAGGCTACTCACTTTTGAGTTATGTGAGATACGTACCTACAGAAGCCACGAAAAATTCTCTTCAGAATTAATTTTAAATCAGTTTTTGGGTGAAAAACTTTTTTTGGGTGGAAAAGAGTCTTTTATACTCTCCTTATGTACAGATGTCATGCAAAAACATCGTTAAATTGCATTTGTTAGCAGTAAAAATAGATATTTTCTTTGAAATATGATGCCCGAAAATTTTCGCTATTACAATACTTCCTTTTTACTTTGTACAAGGTAGTAAAAAGGATAAAGCTTTTTATTAGTCATTTTATTGTTCTAAAAGCTCTGTTGCTAAAAGACACATTTTCTAAAAATTCATAAAAAATTAGTTTGGTAACATTAATTTTAATCATATTTGAAATTTAATACCCACAGCTGAGATAATGCCAAAACTATGAATATTAAATTGTTGCTTTTTACATTAGCATGCAAGTATGCTTAATTTTCAGACAATTTGTTAATTTGAATTATTTCCTTCCTTTAGAATTAATACTGATGTGTAAATATCATTTTAAATAGGAAGCTCAGTCTTTGGAAAGTGTTTGTGGAGGAAGCTCCGCTTTTTCTAGTCCAGAAAAAGTAGAAACCTATCTAATGAATCTAATACTTCCTCTTTGTATCCGAATTAGCAGTGGGATTAAAGGTAGTGTTTCATTATTTATATGTAAACTATAAGTTAATTGTAGAATTTCCATACATATTTTTAAACTAAAATTTAAGAATAGTTTTTAAGATTATTTGCTATTTTTGCTAAAAGTATAAAAGGGTATAATTGTATACATAAAATCACAATCAGCTGACATTTAAATTTCATGATTTGTGTTTAGATTATGTATTATTTTTAGTTTACATACTTCGATTTTAGGTGTATGTGTGTGCTTACCTTTATATATATATATATATATATATAATTTTAGATCAAAGTTTCTTAAACTGTGGGTTTCGATCCCCCATGGGGGTCGTAAGACCTGCAGCACGGGGTCTCCAAAATTTTAGCAGTTTTAATATTTCTGTAACTTATTATATTATAATAACTTTACAATTACCAAATATTTTTACACAATGTATCTGAAAATAGCTAAAGATAAGACAATACAGACAAAGAAAAATGAAAATGCCTCGACATGGTCTTTTTATAATATAAACGTTCATTTTACTTGCATTTGACGTGACGCTTTCATTTCATGTGTTACTTGTTTAAAGTTTTCACATTGTCCTATGTCTTAAAATTATAAATTAAAGTTAATGACCTAAAACTGCAATAGCATATTATAGTACACGTGAAAAAATTGACAATTTCACTCACGTGCGCGTGTCAGATTAGCACAATGCTTATGGGGGTCCCACAAAATTTTTGTAAATATTAGGGGGTCGTGGGGTTGCAAAAAAAATCTGGGTGATAAAAAGGAGGTCACGACTGAAAAAAGTTTCAGAAGCTCGGTTTTAGATGGTCTGAGTTTACAGCATTGAAACTGTAGTGAATGAATTTGAAGTTAAAATTATGTATTGATCTTTTCTTCAGATGTCGAAGGTAGTTTAATGCTTAGGAAATGGAAATATTCAACCTGATTTTGGCCATGATTTTATTGAAAAGGAGTGGTGTGGATAATTGAGAAAAATCAGACCTAATTATATAAAAGCAATTTTGTTCTTTAATATTAGCATCTCTACACATCACCTTTACATACACCTAAAGGCCGACCAGCGGCCGAGTGGTAAAGTCGCTGAACACTGGTGGTTCGGTCCGAGGTTCGAATCCCGCGAACGGGCTGGCTGCATGGGCATTTTTGTGGTTTTCCCCATGTGTAACGTGTATACGAGCCAGTTTCCCTTAGAAAGTCCTCCACAAAGGCATCCCTCCCCTTAGGCAGATAGCCCTCGTGTGCTTTGCCATAATTAAATACACCACACCACATACACCAAAAGCAGTGTTTATTCATAATAAAGAGAAGGACATGCATCCATTTGAAATGCATCAAGCTCCTTTATTTTTTATTAAAATCAAAGTGAAAATGGAAACTTATCTTACTAAATACATCTTTGGCATAAAATTTCTTACTTAAGTAAAAACTGAAGCACCTTTGCATTTATTAACTATTATTAATTGAATAAACTATTATTAATTGGTTTGTTCCCCTTGAAGAGTTAACCAATTTTCAGTCAATGACAATAATTACTTGGTTTGTTGATTACATTTTCATTTTAACTGTACCATTTTAAAAGTTTCCATTTTCAATTTATTCTTGATTCATATTTGATGTTCCTGTTTAAAAAAAAAATTCAAGATTATGTTTTTAAATATGCTTATGAGTTAACTTCATTCCACTAGAATTCTAACTACCTTTATTAGAGGAGGTAATAGTTAGAGTAGACTAAAGGGTACCCCTTGTATAATTGTGAAGTTGTTTCATTTATCGCAAAGTTGTCATTTTGTTTATCACCAAGTTGTTTCATTTATGGTTACTTGAGTAGTTGAATGTTCTTAAGACATAGGCAAATTCAAGGGAGTGCGCAATGCCAAGTTTGTGCAATTCTCTGATATTTTGCTTAAGTAAAAATAGGTTGACATGTACATGGTTAAAGTCAAGGGAGTGTGCAATGTGTAGTTTGTGTAGTTCTGCGATTTTTTTTTTTTTTTTTTTTTTTTTTTTAAATAGGTCAATGTGTACATGGATACCGAGTTTGTGCAATTCTTTGACTTGTTCTTTTGTCTTTGTGTAGTGGCGGTTTTTGGAATTAAAATCGCCGCTACACAAAGCCAAAATAACAAGTCAAAGTATTGCACAAACTTGGTATCCATGTACCGCCAAAGGGGGTACCCGTAAATATACTTTTACCAGAGATAATATACTAAATAATCCATTTGTAAATAAATTATTTTATTACTGTACAATTTTTGCTCAAGTATTAGGCAATTTATTATGATTAATTAAAATATTTACTTATACATATATATGATGTTTTAATGTGTAGAAGGAACCCAGTGCTTTTATTTCTGGCAGTCAAAGAGACTTTACTGCATAATTGGAAATATGGATGCATAAATCAAAAACTTCCAGAAGTGGCTGTTTCAAAACATAATTTTATTCCTTGATAATGCACATTAAATCAGTTTTTTGCAGACTAGATATTTTTTAATCATAGGTGACTACAATGATTTCTATGTACACAGGTTTTAAAGTATGACGTCATCTTAAGTAAGTTAGCAGGGCAGCAGAGGTTTTGCATGGCAGGATAAGTTAAGAAGTAGTAGTGACATAATTGCTTGTGAAGCAGTATTTATACTAGGTGGGTACATATGTATAGCTAAGCTGCAAATGGCTAATATTAGGTTTTAGCTTTTCAAGCAGCATTATGTAACGTGGAAAGATCTTGAATTTGTGAGAAAATATGAGGACAGGACGTCAAATTTATAATAGTCAATTTTAAGGTTACCAATTATTTTTTAACATAGCCATCATATTTTGTTATATCTTATATATATATATATATATGTATGTAAGGTATAACAAAATATGATAGCTGTTTTAAAAATAATTGGCGATCTCAAAATTAACTATTTTAGGTTTGATGCTCTCCCCTAAATTCATCTCTTCTCCTGAATTCAGGATCATTCTGTGTTATATAACAACCTCAACTTAACCAAACATAGCTTGTGTCTATAATTACAGACTTAGTATAAATACTCTTGGCACAATAAACTACATCATTCCTTTCCCTAGCTTCCGCCACGCCAACATCCACGCTGCTTTGCTTCCCCGTGCCAAATGCCTATGTCATTTCTTTAAAAAACCAATGTACATAGAAATTTAGCCTATATAATTATAATTGAATAAGTGTCTGCCAAACTAATTGGATATATGGGAAAATAAGGATTGGTGATTTATCAAAATCCAATTTATCTTCATCTGTATTCCTTAAACATAAGCCATGACTGCTTCTGAAAGCTGTTAAGAGTTCCAGTGTTTCCTTCTACACATTAAATTGTTACACATATATATATGTAAGGGTGAGTTGCAAAAACAATTGTTTTTATTTTTCTCTCACTGTACTAGAAAAAGATGTCTGTAGCCTAGCTAAACAAAATCTTTCAATTAAAATTATATTTTACATTTGTACATTTCCTTCAATGTTTTTAAAAATGGTGAAATTCTTATGTTTTTGTTCAATTTTTTATATTTAGTAAACTCAGTACTATTGAAATGCTGCTATAGGTCCTAATGTGAAGTTTAAAATTTGAAATTATGTATTGTTTACACTAAAAGTTCAGAAAACTGTTTTTTAGTATGTACGTACAAATAGCAATATTTCATAATTTTTGCTGCAAATATTTTTAAATGGTGACTATAATTATCAAATATTATGTAAAACTTGAGGAAAGTGCTTTCATGAGTAGTTTGAACCTGAACTGCATTGTGTGTTTCTGGTTTGAAAAATGCTGTTTTCCATCATGCATTTCAAGTTGGGAGACCGCTGTAGTGGACTGTTGTTCAGTGCACTATAGTTTCATCGCGTATTTCATCTATTGGATGGTGTTTACCACAAGGCTTAAACCCTTCAGTGGACAGATCGAGAAATAACTTGCTGAGTGTGAAAAACTTCCTCTTCATATTGACAGAAAAGGGCTGAGCAAGGATCAGTTATGTGTACTTGATACTTCTACTGCCATGAAATCAGGTACAATTTTAGAAGATTTAGTAACTCATGATCCTGGTCAGCTTTCACACTCAAGATTATCGAGGACAGCAAGATATGCAAATTTAGAAAAACCTACTGATGAAATCAGGCAATTGAGACATACTATTTTCATTTGTTACATACCTCTCTGGGTCAAAACCAAGCCAGCAAAAATTTTGCAGACTGTTCAGAGATAGTTTTGAAGCCATCAGAACATCACGATACTCGATTCAAAATTTAGTACATGTCATCAAACCAGAAATTCAGCGGAATGATTTCTTTGCTTTGAATGCTTTCTTTGCTTTGAAGCAACAGACTACATCTGAATGAATTGGTTAGATAGTTGCAATATGTCTTCTCTTCCACTATTAAGAACTATTATGGATTAGGACATCAAAAATCTGTTAAAGACTGATACATTGCTACAACCAGATTTTCAGAGCTTTTCTCACAAGCAGGCTCTAAAACAGTGTGTCAAACTTGTGGTTGAAGCATCTAAAAAGGTAGTACAGTCAAAAGTCATTAATTCGGGCACCCATAATCTGGAATGATCTATAATCCGGACCTCAAAGCTAACTTTCTGCGCATGTGCCTCATTGACACATGCGCATAGGCGTTTACGCGTGCGCGTAAGACCTTTTACGACTGCGCATATGCTTGTGCGCAAGCGCAGAATACGTTTTCGCATGCGCGTTTTATGTATAATGGACGGTATAAGCTAAAATTATCTATTTCAGTTAATGTTGATGATTGCGTTGTTCCTTAATCTTCAAATTGTATCCAGTTTATTATTTTTTGCAGACTGTAAGAGCAATATTATAAAAGTAAACTTGAACTTTCAATTATGTCAAATAGAATTTCCGATTCTGGAGCTCCCAAAGGATCGTACAAAACGAAAGTATGTTTCGATGTCCATCAAACAAAAAGTGGAATTGCTGCAAAAAATGGATAAAGACATGAAGAATGTGACAGAGAGGTTAGTGAAAACGAAAAAATTTCGATTGACAAGTTAGTCGGTATTCTCGGCACAGCAATTAACGGGACTTGAACAGCGGAACTTTGTCTGTTTATAGAATTAAAGAGAAAGTATTATCACATAAAACGAAGCAACTTAAATAACTTTCATTGAAAGAAATGTTTAATAAAGTAAACAAATAAATATTAAGCTTTTTTTTTTTTTTTTTTTTTGTAAATTTTGATACCCTTTAGATCATAATTGTTCTTTATTTCATAAATTACGATTTCTTATTTTTAATTTTAGAATTTCTGCATGGCATCTTACGAGATTTAAACTGATGATCTATAATCCGGAAAAATCGATAATCTGGAATCGCCGAAGTCCCGACGAGTCCGGATTAATGACTTTTGACTGTATGTGGTGCTGACCTAACAGATGGCTTGATTAGGATAACCCTCCTCACAAGATGTATTATGCCAGGAAATTATTTTGAATAACAAAATTAAAAATGATAAGGATATTGACCATTGGTTCATTAAATAAAAAAGTAAAATTTTGAGAAATTATAAAAAATTGCTATTTTGACCTTTTTGCAACAACAATAAACAATTTGAAATTACAGGTTTTGAACTTATTTCATGTTCCTCATGCCACAAAATTCACATTATGAACAATTGCATTTAGATAGTAGTGATGGTAATTGTAAAAAATTGACAAAAAACCAGCAAAATTTTGCTTTTCTGTTTAAATTTTAAGTGTGATACATAAATGGAAGATATATTTTTATATGAAAACTTTTTTTTTCTTTTGCATAGCTAAGTGATAAGCAACTGTTCTGAATATATAACTGTAGAAAAATATAATAAAAAGTTTTTTTTCACCTCACTCTAATACACTTTTCCAAACAATTTTGGGAATATTGTGAGTTCGGTATAAAGTAACCATATAATCAACAACGTTTTTGGCAAAATTGAAACAGAAGACATTTGAAAGGAAAATTATAACATTTATAAAGTTGTAAGTATGCAAAATTTGTCTATAACATTAACAATTACACATTTTAGATGAGGAGTGAAAAATTACTTGTCGCATTCCTTCTGCAGGAGATAAAAAAACAGCTGACAGGCATCAAATGTCTTGTAACCAATACAGTGTCTCAGCAAGGTGACTTTGCTGAATTTGTAGTCTAGAGGCGGACCAAAGTAGCAGAAATTTTAGGAGTATCATTTCCAGACTATAAAATTGGTTTTTGAAAACTGGATATGTTCACTAAATCTCGAGACAAGGTCGTTTGCCTGCAACACATAAAATGAGGATTGATATTTGACACTAATGGCCAGGAAAAACTGTACTATGAATGCCACTTTCTTGCAACAGCAAGTACAGAGGGCTACTTATACAACAGTTTCAACTCAAACTGTTCGAAATAGACTCAACCATGTAGGTTTGCATGCTCACTGACCTATGGTTTTTATTTCGCCGACACAGAATCTCCATGCTCCCTGGAGAATTGGGCACAGGAGCATCTCAGAAAAAAGATGAATCAAAGTGAGTGGAACAACATGCTCTTCACGGATGAGTCTCTCTTTAGTGTACAGCCTGACAATAAGCATTCGCAGATCACCAACTTCATAGCCGACAGTACCCATGGCTTCTGTAAAACTAGCAATCGATTCGGATGTTGCAGCAAAACATTCTACTCTGTCCAAGGTGTGTTACATTTCCTGACTGATGGGTAGAATGATATTATCCTCTTCACTTTCTTCTACCTCAGATGCATCACATGCTTGTACATCAGATTCTGCTGGAGCAACGTCAACGTCATCTGCATTAACTCTGAGAAACTGATCATTGACGCAGTGATCGTGACTGTTAAAACTGTGTCATTTCAAAATTACTCTTTGCCATATGATTCTTATGTGATGCTAGTGATTGCAGCTTCTACATAAAGCCCTTTAGGCAATAAGGATTTTGCATGATTTCCTATCTGGAAATCAAAATTTTTAATACCAATCGTAAAACTGAGAAGTGAAACTCAAGTTATTCTGAACTTGAATTTCATTGTAGACATGCCACTTTCATCAATCATATTATTGTAAGATATAGAAAAGGTACAAATTTAATCAAGAACATGTACACAGGTTGTGATCATTGCAAATTGTAATTCATATTAAAAGTGTGCTTCTCAAGAATAAAATAAAATGTGTTAAATTGTCACAGTTGGGAACATCTTTTATGCACCAAGTTCTTGCCCGTATGTCATATTCTATGTTATGTAGTGATATCAACTTCTACATCATTATCCTCATACACATATATATATTAAACACAAATAAACAAAAAGTTCTATTTTGGATCAGCCAGAACTTGACACAACAAAGTGTAAGAGAAAATAATCAAAAATACTTCAAGAAAATTGAAGAATGTGTTGCAAGATGTTTGAGCTAATTCATGTGTTATTTATTTAGCATTATATATATTTTACAACTTAAAATTTGTTGGTAGTTTCCCTTCAAAGTGAAACTTATAAAATTGAAAGGAAATAAACTGAAAAAAAAAAAGTTATTATTTTGTTGTAAAATCGATGTTTGTCACTGTCAATGTGTGTTTAATTATGCGTTTTACATTTTAAAGATGTACACGTGAAAATTCTGATATGTTATTTCTAATCTTACAGAAATTTAATGTGTAATAATAATAAACTGCATTAGCATCATAACAGTACATCTTGGTTAATTCTTGTTTTCCTAAATCAATTCTGAATTGCATTTCACTCAAAATGTATAATTTTTTCCCCATATTTTTTTATTCAAATTTCAGATGTTCCAAAATTACGGCATTCTGACATAGCATTTGCTCTTACTATGGTGTTGCATGCTTTAGCTCCTATTTCACCTGCACAAAGTAGTGCAACTACTAAAGGTGCTTCAGATAGCAGTACAACTGGAAAATCTCCTAATCGAACAAAGATGTTTCTTTTTCATATTGGTTTTGTCGGTATGTAAAATTTATTCACGTCTTTTAATATAAAAAGTTCTCATGTAACAATTTATAAAGAATTTTTTTTTTTTTTTTTTTTTTTTCCCAAGGTTTAAAGATTCTTATAGTATGCTTTGAGAAGCAGCTAGGAAATGATTGGCATCGTATTGCTTGTTGTATTCGAGAACTTGGCAATAGAATGCAAGGTAAATTTATAGCAGTTTTAATTATCTATGTGAATGTATTTTGTCATTTAACTAATACTTTTTAGCATCATCTTGTAAGGATTGAAGTGCTATTCAACTATTTTTAGCCATTGTATGGATTTATTATCTTGTATTTAATTTCAAAATTCTACTTGTAAAAGCTCCTTTTATATATTCATTTATATTAACTTTTCTTTTTCTTTTAATGAAATGTGTCCTTTTAAAGTATTTTATACAATACAATATATACAGAACTAAAGTAACTAAAATAATACTAAAATAATAATGTTTTAAACAGCTAAAATAAAGTTACTGTAATTAATAACTAAAATAATATTAATGTTTTAAAAACTAATGGGGGTCGCCAAAAATTTTTAGCAATTTTGATATTTCTTTAACTTATTATAATAAATATACAATTACCAAATATTTTTATTTCTGAAAGTAGATAAAGATAAGAAAAAACAGGCAATACAGATAAGACGTTTAGATGCATTATAGTGTCATGTTCTTTTCCTTTTTTAAATAATAATTTTTATCATCCATAAAATTAATCAATATTTTAATATTAATTACTCTTGGGATGAACTCTTGAGTGAACTGTTTATTCCCAATGTCAAGTTTGATTAAATGAAAATTTACTTTGTCTTAACTATTTTGTCCTTTAGTGTATATTTTTATTATAACTAGTAAAATTGTAAAAGCATGGTTATTTTGCATTTAAATGCCATCATAAGGAATAGTAAATTCAGAGAAAAGTTATTTTTCATTCAAGCCCGAATCTGAAATAACCTAAATTTTTAAAAAAGAAAAGAAAGGAAATTGAAAATAATTTTGTAATAATAGTGGCAAAAGGAGGGTGACTATGTTTGTGATTATACGGAGTATTTAGATATAAGAAATATAATTTTTAAATATTAGGGGAGCAAAAACCTAACGATTTCTTAGAACTTTTCTGATAATACCTGTATTCTATTTCCAGAGTTTTTTTAGAATGTTCATCTAGATCTGTCCTGGTAAGTTTTAATAAGTTTGTTTGATCAGAATATTACTTTATAGATCAATCATAACAGATCATTGTCGGGTCAAACAGCTACACGTGTATTTTGTTGATTTTCCTTTTATGAAATAGGTTAATACTCTATGATTTAAAGAATATGAAAAAAATACATTTGGATTTATGAACCAATGTATTTATGTCTAAAACAATTTCGTAATTTGCTACTTCTAAAAGTACCAGTGTATAAAGCGTGAATTTAATTTTATACAGATACACAGACAAAAATACAAATAAAATTATATATATATATATATATACTGTATATTTGTATAAATATTACATGCAAATATTTTTACAGATATACAGAAAAAAATATATCTGTGTAATCCAAATACAAGGAAAATATTTTGGATTATGGATAGAATATATTTTTGTCTAAAATACTTTTAATAGTTCACTGTTTGTAAAAAAAACGCCAGAGTAAATGAATTTTATACAGATGTATTTTACTTATATTTCAGAGCTTTATTACATATATCTTTCATTTTTAGGTGGGCTTGGGCTGTGGAATTTCATAGACTTCACAGTCACACACCGAACTCCTTTATATGTTCTATTATATCCTATGATTAAGTGCAAAGTAAGTTTTAATCAAATTAAAACAGCGAGTAAAATATTTTTGATTTTTGAACTACTATCTTTTAATTATGGTGCTATTTTTGTGAGTGGTATGCTAAGTACACTTTTGTTTGTAATATTGAGGATTCAGTGTTGATGTCAAAAATAAACTAAACTGATCACTAAGCATCTGATTTCACTTTAAATATGCCTGCGTGATTGACTGTTTTTGGTGATTTTACTAGTTGATATCCAAGCTGTTTAATGTATTAGACAACTCGAGTATTAAATTCGGAAGAATGACAGAAATTGAAACTCAGTTATCAAGCTGGAAAGAAAGTAATTTCAGTTTTTAATGTGAAGTAAAACTTAAATTTTTCTGTATAAAAATGAACTTTAATCAGTCAAGTATCTTCCAATCTGTTCAGTGACCTTTTGCCTTCTTTTCTGGGAACTTCATGATTCTGCACTCATACAACATCATAGATCTTCGTCAACAAAAAAACTCAAATACAGTTTGAGATCATTATTACTGAAATTTTTACCATTTAAGAAGTTTTCTAAAATTCAAAATCATAATTTCGATGGTATAAGGTCGGCTATATAGGGGATGCGACTGCACTTCCTAACCAAGCTCTAGTAATTTCACACTTGTTGCTATAAATGTATGAGGTCACATGGTGGAATATGATTCCTTTGCAGTATGCCGATTCTGGTCTTTTCAGTTTGATTGCTTCCTCTAATTTCATAAGTTATTGGCATCCGAGTTGATTGTTTACTTGGCAGCTACTCAAAGTAAACACCACCTTTGTAATCCCAGTAAAATTGACAGCATGATCTTTTTCTGATGCAATTTAGCTTTTGATATGATTTATGCTGGATTCATATTGCTTGGACTATGATTTTTTTCAATTAATGTTATTGTAGATGATCTGTTTTTTATCACCAGGGATAATTCTTTTCAAAAAAGTGTTGATTATGTTACATTTGAAATGCATATCCCAAATGTTGATTCATTGTATTAAGTGAATTTCTTTTAGTTCATGCAGAATCCAAATATTAAGGTTTTTAATTAGTTCAAGACATCATATGTGATTTTCAAATGTTGTGTGTGATACATTCAACCATTTTGCAATCTCTCGCACAATTATATGGCTGTTCATTTCAGTTATGGCTTTAATTTTGTCTTCATCAACTTCAGAAAGTCAGCCAGAGCAGTAGTCATCTTCAAGTGAAAAATCTACAGAACAAAATTTTTAAACCAATTCTAACATATGTGTTCTGTTAAGCAATCAACACTGTAAATTTCACTTAGTTCTTTGTGAGCATCAGCTGCTTTGTTTCCTTTATGAAAATAAAGTAAAATGTATTGAATTTTTTCCCACGCTGTCTTAAAGCTGACCATAAACTAGTTTTGGTCAGCTCGGAATTTGTTTCTACAGCAACCTAAAAGTATCATCTGCCAAATCTCAAAAGAAAAAAATTATGAGATTGACAGAAGAATAATAAAACTAACATAGCGCTATCTATTTGCACAAACTGAAATAACTTTTTACCAACCTGATATATACTGTATTTTATTTTTTATACTACCTATTATTTATGGGAATAATTTTCTTATCAGAAATCGGAAAACTATGCATATATTTACATTAAGATTTTGGAGAACTGAAAAGCAGAGCTGCCTTGTCTATAAGTAGTCCATTAATTGGGTGAAGACATGAGCAAACCATTCTTTTAATTAAATGTAACATAGAATTAGTTTCATTTGATGATGTTTTATTCTTGTAGAATTTACCAATAAGTAATGCAGTTAACCTTCCAGCACGCGCTCTTGGCAATTTTACATGAGCATGATCACGTCTTATTTTTTACAACATCCGTTATTTTACCATTTTGGGCATGAAAAATGACAGAAATGAGTGAATGTTGATAATAAATTTGTTAAGAAATAAAATATTAATCTTATTAATGCAAAATACAAATGATATCACATTCAAATATAAGTAAATTATTTTTAAGTTCTTATGCTACCGAGATGGAAATACAATGATGTGTTCATTATAGAAAATTTTAAATTTATTATTTAATAATTATATTTTAAAATCGAAGCTAATTTTAATATTCGTCAAAGATAAGTATAGACAATAAAAAAGGAAAATGCCTTGGTAGGAAAAAAAGTAAGTTTAGCATTACTTTACTTCTGAAAGAAAATTTACTTCTTACTGGTTACAAAAATGCACTTTAAACTAACTTTAATGTTTTTATTTTATTTCTAAAAAATAGAAATTGAAGAAAACAAGGAATGGAAATCGCTATTGTTCTCCCATCCAAAGATTTCCTTGTCTTCCTTTTCTTCTTCATCAGATAATTCTTGAAGAATCCATACAAAATCAGCTGGTTGGCCATGAACACCGATATAAAATTCACAGAGCTGAATGTATTCAAATTAAAATAATACATGGCAATTAATAACACAAAATTACAAAATATTTGAGAAAAAAAAATATTTTTTGAATTTTAAAACACAACCACGCTCGTGTCATAACTTTTATGAAAAAACTGCCACGTAGCACAAAAGCCCGGTTAAAAAAAAAAGTCAAATGACTTCCTGTCGGCACGTTCCATGATGTTGTGAGAAAGGGTAGAAAGGAGGAATAGGAATGACATTCAAACGCCTCAGCTTCAATATGCGAAAAATGTGCATTAAAATCTGAATTTGTCATAAATTTTGTGCATAAGTGCATGCTGGAAGGTTAAATGTAACATTGATCCAGTTATATTTTTAGTTTTTTTGCAGAGATTGAGCAGTCACCACCTTCTGTACCTTATTTTATGAAATTAAACCTGTAACAATGGCATTTTAAAATCCATAGGGGAAAATGGTGTATAATGATATTTAACGAATTTCAGTACATATTCATTTATGCCTTGAGAATGCTCTTTATAGTCTTTGAATTTAGTAATAAATGATGCAATTAAATGAAACTAATAAATTTCTTCTTTTGGTATAATAGCAACTGAACAATTAATTCTCCATGAAGCAATAGATAGATGGAATATGTTGAAAAATGCGTTTTACTGATTTTTGATGTTATAAAAAGATTTCACATACATACTGAGAACTGCATATTGGAACAATAATAAAACCTAGAAACTATCAAATAAAAAATTGTTATGAAGCCATTTTTAATATTAAAATTAATAAAACTTTGAAGTGAATATATAGCTTTCAAAAAACATGTTTTGAGCTTATAAGAAATCGATAGAAATGTATTTTCAGTATCAAAATGTAGATAAATATATAGTTTAAAATTGTGTAAAGAAAGCAACCTTAGTTTGGCATATGTTTTGAATAAAACTGTCAGTTTCGAGGGTAACCAGGCTCAGATCCCATCAGGCGATCAGGTTTCTTTAGATTAAAAACATTTTGAACAACAAATGTGTCTGAATCAGTTTACTTTTCAGATGACTATAAATCAGAATGTAGCAACTTTATCATCAACTTTATATTACCACCACATGCAATAGCTTCATTCTGGTTTGTTTTTAAAATGAAAATTGTCATCAGCTTGAATTTAAAAAAGAATTAACGAAAAAGGAAATTTTGTAATTCTTATTACTCGGTTTCAGCTGTGGCTTCTGGTTTGCTGTATCTTTTGGTGATAAATACTGCTAAACTTTGCATTTAATATCCAGTTGCCAATAAAACCAACAAGTACCAAACTAACTTTTCAAAAAAGTTTTTCTTTCGTTTAAGTCTGGTACATCATTCAGGAATTTTTAAAATATTCTCATAACATACATTGCCTAAAATGAATATTGCAGATGGTTTACATACTCTGTGTCTGTTGTTTTAGCTGTTTTATAGATCATACAATAAATAAAAAAAAAAGTAGATTTAAAAAAATTAGAAACACATATTGTAAAGAATTTCAAGATTTATTCTTTATTGTCAGTCAATTACCATAAATTCTGCATTTTTTTTATTTATTATACATAGATTTAGAGGCTAGGTATATTTTTGATTTTCATATCTTTAGTATTTAATTCTGTAATCACATAGTATCACTTAATATTTCTATTGTTTATTATTTCTTTCAGTAAGCAGTAAGGAATTGCATAGTTAATTTTGAAGATTTAAGAGATGCTTTGCCTAATTAACTGTGTAATCAATATAAACATTTTTAGATGATTTTTAATAAGTCAATCTGAGAAATTTTTCCTCTTAAACCTTTCAGATGCTAAAGACGATTTGTGACAATGAGCAAGAATATTCATTTCAACAGAGAATTAAAGGAAAATTACAAGGTCATAATTTACCAACGCCAAAAAGTCATGGTGCCCTTTTTGTAGATATGGTATCTGAACTGAAATCATTAAAAGAAGACCTTATTTCTTGGAAAATAGGTATATTTTTAATTCATATTTTAGATTTTTTGAAATTTTTTCATGTATATAGCTTTTAATACACTTATTATTGTTTTCCATATATTAAGAATAAATTAAATAAAACATCATTTGCTTGATTAGGTATATGTTCAATTTCATTGAATTAATTGAACAATATCATTAAAATTCTACATGTATGGTTTTCATGTTTTTTCCCCCTTCCTTCAGAGGGACTGAAATTGTATCTGGTTGATCGGAAAGTCATGTTGTATTTTTACTATGTTTCTCAAAGGTGATTTATTCCTATAAAAATAAGAATTCAATCAATAATGTATGGCAATTTTGTTCGATGACCTTTTTTCATCGTTCAACAAGGTTCATAATTCCACGCTGGTAGAATGATCTGTCTTTAGAAACTGTACCATATGCCGATTCATAGCCTCATCAGAATAAAATGTTTTATGATTCAAGGAATTCTGCAAATAGCAAAACAAATGGTAATCTGAAGGTGCAAGGTCAAGCGAGTACAGTGGATGAGGTAACACATCCCAACCAAGCTCCAACAGCTTTTGGCGATTAACCAAATTCGTGTGTGGTCTTGTGTTCTCTTGGTGAAACACACCTTTACGATTCACAAGTTCTGGCTGATTTTGATTGGTTGCATTGTTAAATTTGTACACAGCTGAGTTAAACATTTGATTCTTTGGTAAAAGCTTGAAATGCACAACACCTTTGAAATCCCATCACACTGACAGCATGACCTTTTTCACACAGTTTTTTGACACAATCCATTTCTCATCACCAGTGACCATACACTTCAGAAAAGGTTCATTTTCTTCACTTTTAAGAAGGGAATGGCAGATGCTCAAGCGCTTCACCAAATGGATCTCCTTTAGCTCGTGAGGAACCCAAACTTCAAGCTAGCTTACAAATACAAGCTTCTTTAAATGGTCATGAATGGTTGATTGAGCAATGTGTAGTGCCTCTGCAATCTCTCGTGTTATGTACCGAGGGTTAGACTTAACCATTGCCTTTATTTTGTCATCAGCAGCCTCCAATGGCCTTCCTGACCGAGGCGTATCATTCACATCAAAATCGCCAGAAAGGAATTTTGAAAACCAGCGCTGGCACTGATGTGTCGTGAGAGCATCGTCTCCATAAACTTTACGCAACTTTTCACAAGCTTGTGTCACATTCTTGCCTTTGCGGGAATAAAAAAGCAAAATATAGCGAAAACCAAAAGTTTTCTCTCCATTTTCAACTCTGTATAAAATCTATCCAACTCGTTCGGATTGAATTTTCTGTTTATTGAATGGGTTAGAAGTGTGACCGTATATCGTATTTCAGTGAGGTGCATGTGCATGGTGCTTCTACTCCAAAAAATGCACTAACAACATCTGTTAGCAAAATACAACATGACTTTTTGAACAACGTTTATCTGTTGTGCTAATTAGGCTTTGTTGATCTGCTTTATTATTGAGTGTACAGTTTAATGTACAGTTTTATTATGTTTTAAAAACAGTGATGTATTTCTGTTTGTTGAAATCCTGTTCATGTTTTGCCTTGGAAGTTCTCAATAAAATAAAATATTTAATGTTTCATGGAAACCCTTTTTAATGGTCCCTATGTTAAATTTGTGTTGCTAAAAAATAGTTATTTAAAGCATGTGCATTTATAGTGAAAAGTGAATTTAAGCATTTTATTAGTTTTTAGTATTATTTTACATGAGCTTTAAGTAAAATGCTTTAATCTATATATAGTTGCAAATTATACATATTTGTGCAGATCTGAAAAATTTAGAGCTATCAGTATCAGAAAATCACAATTTTTTAAAAATGAATAAGCATATGCTAGATTTTTGTCATTAGTTTATGGAAGCATTGCTAGAGATGTAGCTATACAGAGTAGATGTAAAAATAATCCCCTCTCGCTACCTTTGTATCTTGATTTCTTTTTAATAGAAGAGTTATAGATACATAGACACAAACTGTGAAGTAGTTTACCTAGTAAAATTTAAAACCATTTAATGTACCTAGTGCTAATAGGTTTACTGATAACCAAACTTTAATATTTTAAAACAAAAATTAACTCCCAATTTATCTCAAAGCATTTAAAATTCTTTTTTTTTTTTATCTTCCCATGTATCTCAAAGCATTTCTCAGAAAGTTTAAATGCAAGATTTATTACACTTTCATGCAAATGATGTATCAGGAATATTGAAAATACATTGGGAATCATTAAAGAGTTATCATAGTCATCAATGATATAGTTTTCTTAAACTCTTGAATATAAGGAAAATTTCTTCTGTAACACCATTTCCATACAGATTTTATCTGTTAATAGAATTGATTATGCAACATAAAGTTATTGCTGTTTCATTTCATTTTACTACTGATTAAATTAACCATATCTCTTACTATCTTTATTCAAATGATAGTAAAGGTTTTTTAATAAAAATATGCATATTGGGGTCTTATTTGATGTAGCTGAAAGCTTCATCTATGTTTCTATTTATGAACCAAAAAAGTATGCCAGCTTTGAAATTTAGTAGGAAGGCTGTAATTGTCTATACACAATTGAAAAATTATATTTATGATTTGTAATTTTTTGGAGTGAAATAATGATGACAATGATGAAATGCAGGTTATCTAAATATTGTGCATTTGTTTATAATTCCATTTTAATAGCTTATATATATAATTGATGCAATTTTTCCATATGATGTGATTCTTAGTTTATAAGAATATTTTTTGTGAGGAAGGAAAAATACTACAAAGTGTATCTACAGTAATTTATGATAGTATAATCTAATTTGCATGATAAATTATAAAAGCAGGCTACTTTTCTTTTTCATAATTTAAAAATTAATCATAAATATGAGATCAGTTTAAATGGTTGTAACAAAAATGATAAATAGTTATGTAATTTAGATTTACATTTTCAGCACTGCTGCGATTTAGTTATCAGAGTTTTATCATTAGTAATTTCTTGATATTAATATAATTTCACTAATTATTTTTCAGTTTTGATTTTTATTATCTGAAATAAACAAAATTGTTAACTTTGAACAATTTATTGATATCTTATCATTAGTTGCTTATTTAATCTATCTTTTAACAAAGTAATTAATATAAAATTTTAAAATATTGATGTAGATCCTTGCAATCTCACTGGCTCTGGAAAATCTCAAGATAAAGATCGATTGTTTCTCTAAAGCAGTTATTCTAGTCGATTCCAAAGCAGGCATCCAGGCTGTAGTTATAAATCATAACACAGATACCCAGATTATCTCAGAAATGAAACAAACCTTGAACATCCTTTATAAGCACAACAAAACAATTGTTTTGTAATGGGTCGCTTCACATGTAGGTATCTTCACAGCAAACCACTTCCTTCAGAGTCACTTAAAAAGCATATTTTTGAGAAATTAATGCATACTCTTAAATCTGACCAGGCAGCAAATTCGACAGGCAAATCCTGAGCTAACATTCAAGACACATGGAAAAAGTTTTGTCAAAAAACCTCATAAAGAGGCTATGACAAACTTCAGACTGCAAACAAGTCATAATTGCATGGCAGATCATCTTAATAAAATTGGCATTCTTCCATCTAGTATGTGCCAAATTTGCAATTCGGGCATCATGAATGCAGAGCGTCTTTTTATATGCCCAGAACTAGATAAAGAGTCTCAGAAATGTGGTGAGATAAGTCAACTATATTGGAATGCTTTCGTGAGCTTTCATGAACTCCTTGTAAAGACTACATCTCTTATGTTTTTTTCCTTGTTTAAATTTTTACTTTTGTTCCCATGTTTTCATTTATTCTTATTCTTACTTTGTAAATGTTTTTTTTTTATTATTATTTATCATTGTTCTTTGTGCGATACTTGAGCTGTTTTATATGTTTGGATTGATCTTTCCAATAAAGCAGAGGCGTAGCTAAGGTTTTAAGCGCCCGAGGACAAGTAAAGATTTTACGCCCCTTTCTGTGTTCCCAAAATGGAAAACATTTCATTCTAAAATTTGTAGCATCAATTTGTCACTTTGGATGCAGCGCCCGGGGGCAGATGTCCCCCCTTGCCCCACCCTATCTATGCCACTGCAATAAAGCCATATGTAACAATAACAAATTGTAGAATACAGTCAAAAGTCGTTAATTCGGACACCCATAATCCGGACCTCAAAGCTACAAACTTTCTGCGCATGCGTCGCGTTAAAGGCTGCGAATATCCGTGTGCGCGTGCGCAAAAAACGTTTACGAATGCGCGTTTAATGTATAACGGATGGTATAACCTAAGCTAAAATGATCTAATTCAGTTAATGTTGCAGATTGCGTTGTTCCTTAATCTTCAAATTGGATTCGGCTTATTATTTTTTGCAGACTGTTAGAGCAATTTTATAAAAGTAAGCTTGAACTTTCGATTATGTCAAATAGAATTTCTGATATATATTTACTAATACGTAAAGGATCTACAAAGCAAAAGTATGTTTCAAAGTCTATTAAACAAAAAATGGAATTGCTGCAAAAAATGGATAAAGGCATATCCTTTGTTTATCTAAACTTTAACATTTGTTTATCTAAACTTTGTTTATCTTTAACGCCGCAGCAGCGCGCAATGAATTGGAAGTTGATCTGTCAGCACTATCCTTATCTTCAGGGCAGATATTTTTATTTTATTTGGCTTATATTCCTTACTAATGTAGTATTTCATCTCGATGTACTCCGTCTTTGATATGATTTAAATCAAATTCCTCATCATTATAATTTGCTTCCGATAGCAAAGAAAGTGACAGAGGTTATTGAAAATGAAAAATTTTGATTGACAAATTAGTCGGTATTCTGGACACAGCAATTATAGGACTTAAACAGCGGAACTTTGTAACTGATCAAGAAATTATGTCTGTTTATAGAATTAAAGAAAACAATTTACATTGAAAGAGATGTTTAATAAAGTAAACAAATAAATATTAAGCTTTTTAAATTTTGATACCCTTTAGATCATAACTGCTCTTTAATTCATAAATTACGGTTTCATATTTTTAATTTTATATTTTCTGCATGCCATCTTAGCAGATTTAAACTGATGATCTATAATCCAGAAAAATCGGTAATCCGGAATCGCCGAAGTCCCGACGAGTCCGGATTAACGACTTTTGACTGTATGTTCTTTCTTAAAGGTGGTGGTAAAGTAGAACGTTTGAAGTCTACTGTATCAACTGATCACAGCACAAGTGATACCTCACAACAGGTTGGCTTTATGTATCAAGCTACTAGGCGTAGTGAACATTCTGGTTTGAATCAACCTGAACAACCATCTGAGACAAAAGAAAATCCACCAGGTACTGTATACTGCAAAATTCATCTTCCATTTATTGATAAGTTGTAAGATCAGCAGACAGATAATTATTTGCTGATGTAAGTCTTAATAGTGAACTCATTTATTTTCCTTTTGTGATGTTGTTATAATAATTTAATGCCATTTCGTGTAAAAGTTTTAAAAAAGCAAAAATGACGGTGGTGGCGAATTTTTACTACTTTTACTGTTCTTTAAGTTCAGTTGACTTTTTTAATGAATTATAAATAATGCATTGAGCTTATTCTGTTACTGAAATTAAATTAATTATTTTAGCTCTATTATAGTGATAAGAGCAAATTAGCATGTGTGTTTTTGTTTAATGTGAAAAAAAAAAAAAAAAAAATCTTTTAAATTAATTTTAGATTGCATTAACAAAACAAGCCATAAAATTAGCAATCATAATTATAGTTTTTGCTTTGATATGTTATTGTGCGTGAAATTTTTAATGCTTCTATTTATTCAATGTTCTTTTTATAAAAAAGTGCATTTTATTTTGGTTTTTTAAGTATTTACTACAAAAGGTGAAGTATGATGTAACTAGTTTTATGTTCATATGACTTCAGAATATGTTATGTATATACTAATGCAGTGGTCTCAAACCCAAATTGCATGCAGGCCTAATACACAATCTAAAAGTAACTTATGGACCCCCTTTTTTTTAAAACAAAATAAATATTTTCTTTAATGAAGTTTTTAAATTAAATTTTAAAATTTATTAAATATATAACAAAATGTGCATAAACAATACCAATAGCAATATAAAAGAAAAAAATGGAATGCATATTAATTTTCTGATGGAAATCTAAAGGTAATTCAAACATACTGAGCTCTAAGTATTAATTTTTTATGTTGAGATTTATTTCAAGTAATTCCAGAATGTTGAATTAGCCATTGAATAACTTGGACTGCACATGAACAAATTATGAGAACTGTAGGATGAAACTTGAAAATAAATAATACCGTATTCTCTTTTATTTTTTCCTTAATTATTGATTAATTTATTAATTTTTTCTCAATTCTTATTAAACAACTGATGGTGTTTGTCTTTTGACAAGTACAAAAAAAGGTTAATCAAATCTGTATCTTTGAATACGATTTTTATTACAAAATTTTTCTGAGGTGTTACTCACATTCATTTTTAATGGCAATTCAAACTCAGTAGTTGAAAATAAATATATTTGCCTTCATCTGAAATAAAATATTTTTATCTTCCATATACCTGTGTGTGTTGCCATTCAACAAAGTATAAGTTATTTAATTTTTCTTTCAAATTTTATATATAATAATTCAGCCTGTCTGTCCTTGATTAATAAACAGGAATGTAAAAGCAATAAACACAGTTCTGCATTTCTGTTATTATGAATTAGTAGCAGGACCTTTGAAGTGATACTCATTAAACTCGTCGTATCACTACATATATCTTTTTTACAATAAGGATTGCGAGCGGTAAGATGCTGAACGCTCGTAGTTCGGTCTGAGGTTCGAATCCCACGAACGGGCTGGCTGCATGGGCGTTTTCATGGTTTTCCCCATGTGTAACGTGTATACGAGCCAGTTTCCCTTAGTAAGTCCTCCACAAAGGCATCCCTCCCTTTAGGCAGATGGCCCTCGTGTGCTTTGCCATAATTGAATAATCCAATCCATACAATAAGGATTGCATTTTTTTAGGTAGCTGGCCATGCGGAAGGTTAGTAACTAATATTTAAAATATGCAGTTTATACTTTTGCATTCATTATATATGTGTGTGTGACAGAGAGAGAAAGAAAGAAAATCTGTAGTAGTTGACTGGGAATGGCAGACATGCTGGCAACATATTACTATGTGGGTACTTACGTATTAATGCCACTACAGCTGCAGATTTGGTGGTTTTTAAGTGCCACCAATCTACACCTAAAATTTTTGTGACAAATCATAAGTTAAAACACTTGATTTAAAATCAAAGTAGTCAATCGGATTTCGGTGGAAAATGGGCTGATATAGTGTTTAACATAGATTCAAAACAGTCTCTATTTTCTTTGACCTGACACTGTCACCATATGAACTCTTCTAAATAATGTCTCGCTGTTCCCCTATATTTCTTGTTCCTCCATTTAGCACTGCTCCACATTCTCTCAACTGTTTGTGTATGAACTCCTGTATCAGGATCAATAAAATTGTATTTATGATTAACTTTAGCATGTAGGAATCCTTCTTTTTCTATTCTATTTGTTTGGTATCATGAACCACCATCCTATCAGAATCAGACTTTGCTAAAAAAATAACTATATTTCTAATTAAATGTTAAGGTACGGAACAAAACTGACTGCAATTATTAATACAGGTAGCCAGGTTAATGTAATTTCTGGAAATATTTTTAAATGCATTGATAATTTTGAAACAATTGAAAATGAACCCTCAAAGAAAGAATGTAATTAAATTAATTAAATTATCGTATGAAGTTGGAAGAGTAAGTAGAAATGTGATATTTTATGCTGTTAACTCTGATTTGAGTTATTTATTATCTTCATCTTGTGTTCCCTTATTTAAACTGCACTTGAATTTTGCTGATTATGACGTGTCAATTTAAGAGAAATATAAATAAGAATGTATGAGTAAATAATCCTCTTTAGAATAATTTCTTTTATAAAAGAAATTACAAAAAGGGGAAATTACAAAGAGTACTACTCAAAATGAAAAAATTATGCTAACCATGTTTTAAATAATGAATTTGAAAATCTTTGTGTAGATAATGAGTTGGAAGAATGATCAAATATATCTCATATATTTGCAAAAAGTAAATATGGTGTAGATTTTATGAATATTAAGCCGACTTGCTTAATATTCATAAAATCTACACCATATTTACTTTGGCGTATTATTATTATCTACACCATATTATTATTATCTACACCATATTTACTTTGGTGTAGATTTATATACACCATATTTACTACATATGTATATTTATATATGTAGTAAATACATATGTAATATACATATGTATTTACTTATTTAAAGTAAATATGGTGTATATATTTATATACACCATATTTACTTTGGTGTACTTTGTAGATACTTTGGTGCGTATTATTATTATCTACACCATATTTACTTTGGCGTATTAATCTACACCATATTTACTTACTTACTACACTATATTTATTTATAAATCTACACCATATTTACTTTACACTACCTATACAGTGGCGTAACTAGAACTCTTGGGCCCCTATGCAAACAAATTTTCCTGGGCCCCTTTCCCTATAAATTTAATGTGCTTAAAAATAAATTAAAAAAAAAAAAAAAATGCAAAAATTAAAAAAAATCAATGATTCCAGGAGCCAATGTTTTCATGATGATTTTTAGCACATCTGGATTAATTGTTAAAAAATAAAAGCACGTTCTTAGGGAACCAGTTGAAAGATACATAACGTGAAGAAAGAATAAAAAGGAAAATAATTTCCCTTGACCAGCTGGTTAAATGAAAATATGCTTTAGTCTGGGTATTTGACGTCAGATGATTTTAATTCAGTTAATTAAGACTTTTTGTGTGAGTGCGAGAGACAGATTTTTCTCTCCTTTCATTGAGATGCATACTGATAATAAATGAATAAGTCTATATAAAAAAAAGGAACATGTCGACGTAGGATGCATTAAGAAAAGGAAGAAAATATGTCTACTGATTATTCGATTATAATGCGAATTATACAGAAACAAATTAATACATAAAATAAATACTTTATTATAAATAGTTACAATTAATTTCCACTTCCACCGCTTTTGATTTGGGATTGCAAAAGGAGAAACCTTTCCTTTAGGGGGTCGCCTTTAATAATTTTCAGGTTTGAGACTAAAGAATACAAAGAAACTTTTCCTATTTTCCGCTCACTGCTATCTTTAAGCTGGGGTAGGTCATGAAGTTATTATTTCATAGTCGAATGCTGGAATTTTAACTTTTGCAAACACTTGAATTTAGCTGTTTCAGGTGCTTCGAAGGTCCTCCTATCTATGTCATACAGAGAATTGTGTCATTGCACCAAATAGGTAGGGGGCCCTTAAAAACTTAAAAGAAAACGAATTCTATTATCTATGTATACTTAAGGATTCTAAAGCTAAAAGTAAAAATGAGTCAAATGAAGGCTATTCCTCAACTATATTAATATTAACAATCGTGCAAAAGGGGTTTAACACAAAATCAAAACATATCAAAATTAAAATAAGAATTTAGTAGTACAAATTCTAAAAATAAAAATGAAAAGCAAAAGGGGAAAAAATACAAGATAAAAAAAAAATATATTAATTAATCTTTTATTGAAATTCTAATTTCGAACTAATCAAGGGAAAATGAATTAAAGCTATGTAATGGAATCCGTCTTCTTTTAAGTTTAAACATGTAAATGTAGTTCAGCAGGACATTTAAGGGCCCCTATGCGATGGCATTTCTTGCATACTCTTATTTACGCCACTGCACCCATATAAAACATCCCCTAAAAGATAATACTGAAATTAAAAAACAAATAGACGAATTCTTGCATGCAGGTAGTATAAAATCATCATTTAGCCATTATGCTGCTCCTGTAACTCTACAAAAGAGATGAAAATGCAAAAGCTAGATCATGCACTAATTATAGAAAACAAGCAAATTACTAAAACAGATTCAGAACCTATACCTAGAACAGATGTACGCCCACCAGTGGCCAAGCGGTAAAGTCGCTGAACACTGGTAGTTCGGTTCGAGGTTCAAATCCCGCAAACGTCTGACTGCATGGACATTTTTGTGGTTTTTCCCATGTGTAACGTGTATACAAGTCAGTTTCCCTTAGAAAGTATTCTATGAAGGCATCCCTCCCCTTAGGCAGATAATCATAGTGTGCTTTGCCATAATTAAATAAACCCAACCAAAAACTAGAACAGATATAGTATTAGATCAATTAATAAGTGCAAAATTGTTTTCTATGTTAGACCTAGCATCTGGTTATTGGCATATCAAGATAAATGAAGAAGATGCTGAGAAATTAGCATTTACAACCAGTTTTGGCCTTTATGAATTTAATATAGATTACCTTTTAGTTGGAAAAATTCGCTAGCTGTTTTTCCAGAGAGCTCTTAGACAAATTTTAAATAAATATTAATTTCAGTTTGCTGTAAATTATTTTGATGACATAATAGTATTTTCTCAAAATTTTGAAGAACATTTAGAGCATCTTAATTGAGATATGTGAAACAGAAAATATAGAATTAAGGCAGTCAAAGTGCCATTTTGCTAAAGAAAAAATAAATGTTCTGTGATATGAAGTTCAAGCAGGGAAATATCAACCCAGTAATGCAAAGTTATTAAAAAGTTACAACCCCCTAAAAATGTTAAAGAATTACAAAGATTTGTTGGAAATATTAATGTCTGTTTAACACATTTACTCAAAAAAGATACTATTTATAAATGGATGCTTGAATGCCAATTAGCCTTTCAAAATTTAAGATGCTTTAATTTTCAGACTTATTTTAATTTCATCTAAAATATCCCTGTCTTGCATTTGTATATGCATCTAAAGAAGCTGTTGATGCAATTCTAAACTTTTCTAATCCTATGCTCATCTTTGGCATTTCTGCCAATAGTCATTCAAAATTTGTTGTGAACATTCCTCTAAGCCCAGAGATGAGGAGAAGAAAAACTCTTCTCTTCAACATTATGTAATTTAGATATCATACTAGAATAATGAAGAAAAATATTACCTAAAATAAAAGCTTGAGTTTTTATTTGGGGGGGGGGTGCATGTGTAAATATGGAATTAATGTTCATTATTCACTAAAGCTTTAAAGCTTCAGCTTTAGCACTGTGATTCTCAAGTATCCAGAGTATGGCACTTGTCCTAGTTAAATACCATGCTATTAGAATTAAGCGAAGGAAAACTTGATCGTTCTGTTAAGTTAGAATGTTTTTGTTCCATGTAAAACTGAATCCATGAATGAATCAGATGCCTTGTTATTAAATTAGTTTATGTAATTGATTAATTGTTTCCAAATAAATTGTATTCTGTTTTCATATTTATTAATTGTATTTGTAATTATAAAATTACATGCCTATTTGAATTTTTTTATTGTTCAAGTTTTGTTTTACTCATATGTAAGATTAACTATATTTTATTGTATCAATATGCAATTATAAGGGCAAAATTTTAAATTTATTGTCAGTATTAATAGCATTTTTCATTTTTATAATGCTTTATATGTTTATTTTATAGAAAGTTCTTCCAGGGATAGTCCATTATCTCCAGAGACACAAGTTGCACTAAGCCAGACAATTATTGGCAAACACCATAAGGGGCTAAGTATTAAATTTAACCCTAAGGGTGGTAGTCGTCAAGTTCTAAGGCATTTGCTGCGCCGAAGTAGTTACCCTTATCCAGAGGATACCAATTGTTCTGAAGGTATTTTTTTTTTTTTAATTAGGTTATGTTACAGAAATATTTAAGTAAAAGGCAAAGGCTTCTAAGAACTAATTTATCACAAATTTATTCACCTTAAATTTAAAAAAATATATGCAATATGATATACCCTACAAAAGATCAGATTCGCATTTTTAAAACTATAGCATATAATCTGTTTCAACTTCACAAATGGCCTGGCTCTTTTGTCAGCTTAACAGTATTCCATTTCATCTCCTTTCCATGCCTCATAGAAAAGTATGAAACTGGGAATTACTCTACTGATGAGGCAGCAGCTGCCTCATCAGTAGGGTTCAAGAAAAAGAATGCTGTTCCTAGAACTCCATATTGCAGGACAAAGTATGAAATCCAGACACCCAGTATCTGGAATGACTTCATATTCAGACCTTCTGACCACCATTTTTTAATTTTTATTTTAGAAATTTTTTGCAGGAAGAGGAGTAAGAATTAGATTATGAGAGTAGTGTACATATGCTTAATGCTTCACGCATGCATAGTAGGTATTTTTTTCATAATGAAAGACGTGGAGGGGTGTGATTCTTAATTTCAGTGTAGCAGTAAATAAAACACTTCCATGTTGAAGAAACTCGGTCATTTACAGTCAAAAGTCTTTAATCCGGACTCGTCGGGACTTCGGCGATTCTGGATTATAGATCATCAGTTTAAATCTGGTAAGATGGCATGCAGAAATTATAAAATTAAAAATATGAAACCATAATTTATGAAATAAGAGCAATTATGATCTAAAGGGTATCAAAATTTACCAAAAAAAAAAAAAGGGCTTAATATTTATTTGTTTACTTAATTAAGCATTTCTTTCAACGCGCGCATGCGTAAAGCATACATTATGCATAGTCAAAATTAGAAAATTGCAATCAGAAAACTATTTGATGGGTATTCATGATATTTATAATGATGAGGAATTTGATTTAAATCATATCAAAGACGGAGTACATCGAGATAAAATACTACATTTAGTAAGGAATTATAAGCCGAATAAAATAAAAACATCTGCCCTGAAGATAAGGATAGTGCTGCCAGATCAACTTCCAGTTCATTGCGCACTGCGTCGTTCCTCCCCCCCCTCGCAGAGCAGCATGAAATTGATAAACATATTTCGGAATGGTTAGAGAATCAAAGGATATGCATTTATCCATTTTTGCAGCAATTCCACTTTTTGTTTGATGGACATCAAAACATGCTTTCACTTTGTAGATCCTTTGGTGGCTCCAGAATCAGATTAATTGCAGTTAATGTTGCAGATTGCATTAACCCTCCGGTTAACGCAATCTGCAACATTAACTGAAATAGATAATTTTAGCTTAGCTTATACCGTCCGTTATACATTAAACGTGCATGTGTAAAAGTATTATGCACATGAGTGAACATCCATGCATTGACACATGCGCAGAAAGTTTGTAGCTTTGAGGTCCAGATTAAAGACTTTTGACTGTATTAGTATAAATTTGTATGATCAGTAATTTGGCTTTGTAATGGACTTATTGCTTGCATAAGTCTCAAACCAAAACATTCTATCAATGATTTAACATTTATTGTATATCACATAATCTCGCCAAACAGTTGAATAATTTTTTTATTATTTTTTGCTTTCATCACCGCATGACTATCAACTCACAGCAACTTCAGATATGACCAGCACAGCAATGCCTAAAACACTTTTTTGTTTCTAACATCAGCAGGGTTTGTAGCGGTCCGTACAAGTGCTTATAAGTCCTTATATTTGAAAATAAAATATAAAGGCCCTTATAGGTGCTTACTTTTTCTTTAAAACCTTTATTTTTTGTTTTTAGTGCTTATTTTTTGCTTTTAGTGCTTTTTTTTAATCCTTTTTTTTTTAATGAACGCATTTTTTTTCCCGTACCAAAGCCGAAACTAAATAAACAACTTTTCTTCCTTATATGTAATGTCAGATGGTGAATCATACTCCTGGAAATTGCTTTCCACCCTTTCTCTGCATTACCGTAACCTATGGTGTGCGCGAGAGTACAGACAGGTGCACGTCGTTCTACTGGTTGCGAAAATTGTAGAAAATTCCGGTACATTCGGTATTCTTTTCCGCCCACCCAAATACTACACACGTTTGAATTTCTATCAAGATTTTAATAATTTGCATTCTCGTTCCGCGTGCTCAGTTCATATTCGTGTTTATTATGATCGTTATGCTTATATTATGAGTATATGCATGAATATTTATAATAATATAGTTGCAGTAATTGCTGAAGTATAGATAAACTTCCAAAAATGGGCGTGTTTTTACACAGATTAGCTTTCTAGGGAATAATATTCGCAATGCTTAAATAAAAGAAAAGTAATCGAATAGGCAAAATAATTTCTATCTCTTTTTTTTGGGGGGGGCAATACATTATACAGTACGGAAGTTGGGAGGTTCTCCCCTTTCTGCGCAAAATCTCTAATATTGAAGCAGCGTTTTTTTTTTTTTTTTTTTTTTTTTTTTTTTTTGTGTTTTTTGTGCAGTGGGTGGGGTGGTGGTGTCGTCCCAATCTGGATTGAATAGGACTAAAAGTTTTGCGGTTTACCCCAACCTAAGTGAAGATTAAATCAGTTCCGGAAATTTAACGCTGTCTGTTGAAAATTAGAATCAGAAACACCCCAGATTAGTAAGTCTCTTTCTTTTCCTTTATTTGGTTCTTTATTCTTCGAATACCGGCAGCTGTTGATTTCGATTGCGTAGTATCACATGTGGAAGAATTATGCCACACGTATTGCGCAATAACGTTTGCGGTATTTTGCAGAGATAATTAATTTTGATGTTCAGTCGGAGATTTATTTATGAACACTTAAAAGAGTTTTACTGTGCTTTCTAAAGTTCCGTTGGTCTATTTTTATATGATGCATATATCGAAATGTCAAAATCATTTATTTAGCCGAGAAATCTAAAGAACGGCTACAATCTCCCCCACTCCTCTTTTTCCAGTTACTATCTGGAATATTCGGCAATTTACGAGTATGCAGGTTAGTTAAGCTTTTACTGTTAAAGGAGACTGCATGAAGCAATTTCCCGTCTTCTGATTTCAGAAGTGTGCCTCTTTTTTACTTAAATTACTTTGCTTGGAATGTATGTTAAGGGAAAACTGTTATGCAATGAAAATTTATAAAATGTTCAGAATTTTGATTTAAATTATTTAAATATTAGTATGACTGGAAAAATAAATTGTATTTATTATTAGGTGCCATATGAATACAATTAATATGGCTTATTATTATTTATTTTCTATATTTTGAACTGAAATTTCATCATTAAATCTTGTAATATAGTTTAGTTCTGCATAGTTTTTTCCCCCTCTCATTGTAAACTAATTCTGTAAATTGAACTGTCATTTAAAATTTAAAAAAAAAAGTTAATTGTTTTCCATGGTTGAGGTAATGCTCATTTTCTTAATAAATATAGCATTGCTCATATTTTAAATTACAAGTCTAATTTTTCTTTTAAGGTTATGCAGTTGTGTATAATGTAATTAGACAGGTGCTTATATTTTTCCTTAAAATGTGCTTGAAAAGTGCTTATAGGTGCTTATTTTTTTAACTAAAATGTGGCTACGAACCCTGATCAGGAATTGAATTCCAAACAGCATGGTAACCTTTTATGCTGACTGTCAGCACATATGTGAGGAATAGATGTAAATATAATAAATAATAAATATAATCCAAATTTAATTTGCTCAGCGAGTGATAAGAGCAAGATAAATTTTAGTAGAACAATATATCTTTAGCCTCCAGTTTCATAAATTTCCTATAGTGTACCTAAGATTAATGATGATAGTCATAAATTTGAAGGTTTTTTGGATACTGCAAACAAAAAGCAAAACTTTCCAATCAGTGGAATTTGTAGAGGAAGAGGTTGCAAGAAAGGTGATATAATAGAAGTATTTCAATGCAATGACAATGCCCCAGTTAATCAACTAATGTATAGTGAAATCTGTAATATGCTTCCAAATCCAGAAAATTTCTCTCTGAATAGTGAACAAAGTAAGAGAGATTGTTGAGAATGGAAACAAATCATTTGACAATTTAGTAGGAATTCTGAACATAGTAAGCACACGACTTTTTAACTGTACCAAAAGTTATGTCTGTCTATAAAATTCAAGAGAAAGTATTAGCACAAAAAATGAATTAGTGTAAATGCTCACTTTGAAAGAAATGTTTAATAAAGCAAATATATAAACAATGGTCTTTTCTTTTATAAAAAAAGAAAAACATTTTTTTTTTATTCTCTTAAGGTCATAAATGTTTTATTATATCATAAACAACTATTTCAGTATTTAATTTTATAATTTCCTTATGCCATATTACTAGACTTAAAGTGATGTTCTAAAATCTGGAACCAACAAAATACCAACAAGTCCATATCTCGGACATTTATATTAACTGTATCTTGTCAGAAACAGAACAATAAAATTCACCCATACAGTCAAAGCAATAAAACATTAATCTGAATTATGCAGGGAATAGTTGAAGTTAGTGTCAAGGTTACTGTGGAAAATATTGTAATGAAGTAATTATAATTAATGAATTTCCACTTTTGTACATTTTGCAATTTTTTAACCTTTTTCTTTGTGAATTACTCTTTTCATATACTCCAGATATGCATAAAAAACTTTTCTTTTAATCAATAGTTTAATAATTTCAGAAATTAGTAATTTTAATAAATTCCATTAGAATCTATGCTTTTTGAAAGGAAACTGTACTATTGGGAAAAAAGTTTAGCTTCTCTTTATTGGATGGATTTAATAGTTAGTCAGGCATTCTAATTTTTGTAATTCTGATAATTATGCAATTCATTCATGATGTCATTTTGAACTATTGCTAGTTATAATTAAATCTATATTTTAAGTTCAGTAGAAACTTCCTTTACATGATTTTATGAAGTTGAATTACTTGTTGCTGGTTTGAAATGAAATTTATGATCTGCTTACTACTTTTTAGAGGGCTTGAGTGGAAAACTACCAGCTGTATCAGAACCTAGACTATGGAGGAAAAGCACCTTTCACATTAAAAGGGGTGGGAGTAGAAAAAGCAGAGTCAACAGTGGCAGTAGCCTCACGTCGATGGGGACGGCCAGGCAAACAGAAGAGCAAGACTCACAAGGAGATCAAAGTAATAGCTTTTTTAAATCTATTGATTAAGGCTTTTGGATATTTTTCTTTCAACTTATTATTTATGCAGCATATAAATATTACATTCATGGTTCTAATTTTGTAATTTATATATTTTTTAATCATCTAGGATTTAAATCTAGGAATCCAAATAATCCTTTTTTAGTCCAAAGGAATTTGAATCCCGAAGGACTATTAGTTTCGTTTTGGCATTTTTGCGTCGGACTCATAAATGTCGGTTCACTTTTCAAACTGTTGCCACAAAATGTTAGAGTCCTGCATTATATTTAAAGAAATTAAATAATGAAAATCTGCGTAAATGTATGTATATTTCTCGCATTGTGATAAAACAACGGTACATAGAGTCATCGAATTTTGAATAACGTCATCCTCCAACGAATATGAGCATGTGGAAAACCAAATTTGAAATTTGAAATTCGTTTTATGATCGATTTCCTATTTTTTAAAACTTTGACGAATTTTTGATTAACAAACTCAAGGATTTCAAAGCGAGCAATGGCAACGTTGTGCAGAAAAAACATTTTTATCTCCAGCGCGTGAGTCTCTGTATCGGAAATTCTAAAGATAGGCTCGTTTTAAAACTATTTTGCGATATTGCTGTTGCACTGGATCTTATGGTTTAAGTGCGAGGAACATGATATTTAATAAAGAAAGGTAACACACAAAATGTTAAAAAATGCCCCTTTGGACGTAATTTAAAATCTGAAACATTTCAGATTTTTTTTTTATTTATTTATTTATTTGTTTATTTATTTAAATGGCTGCATTTTTATGGTAAAATGATAAAAGAAAAGTGTGCTAATCTCTTAAAAATAGTGCTATAATAGTAAATTTATGAAAATGTGTTTGTTAATGAGATGTTTAGTAATTCTCATATGCAAAACAGTAGTTTTAATTTATGGTGTATTGTCATTTAAATAGTTTAATTCAAATTGCAATAATTGATACAAATATAATATTATTATCTGTGTTATTTGTAATAATGAACGGAATTTGAATTTCTGTGTTATCTGTATAAAAATATTGATTTAATATTTATGTGCATTTGTTGTACACTGTACATAATGCTTTTAAGAAAATTATCTGTATTTGTATGCTTAAGTTTTTAATAGTGTGCATGATTAGAAATTTTTAAAATTCTAAAATTTAAATATATTTCAAAGAATTTTGGTTGTTGTGAAAGAAGGTTTTGCTCAGTGTATCGTATGTAACTCTCTTCAGTGTCTCTCTGTAGGTCTACCATATCAAATGTGATATGGCAGTGAAGTGTATAAGTTAACTGCCATTTTTGATGTGATGAAATAGATGCTTTTATTTGAAATTTTAGAATGAATAAATGGTTTTAAAATACATAAAACTTAATTGAATGGAATATTCAACCATGATGTTAGAAACATTAATGTTTTACTGCATGTAGTACTAATCAACGTATTGTTCAGGGTTGCAAATGTTTATCATAGGTTTTTTTCCTAAGCATAGTAATAGTATACTTTTGAACTAAGTTTTCAGTTGCTTTAGTAAAAATAATTGTTTGTATATATAAAATATTTAAATTTAAGCAATATATATGTAAAAATATAAATATTTTGAGCTTGTATAATCTTAATTGCTTAAAGTTCATGCATATACAGTGATTGTCTAAAGTGTTTGGTAGTGGAGGAGCTTCATTCTTCTCAAAAGGATATTAAATATATTCCTTCATTCTCTTGTTTTCTGTTGCAATACAATCAAATATTTATTTTAAGTGTCTCTTTAATATGTGAGTTTCTATAAACCATAATTAATAGACCGTAGCAGAAAATAAGCTTAAAAATTTAATCATATAGCAGCCAAGCAATGCAGATTATTCCCTAAAATGGTAACTGCTGCTTTTATCTATGCTTTTTTTGTCTTAAAAAATGTTTAGCTGGAAATTAATCATTTTACAATTGTATAAGCTTACCAGTTGCTGCCGAGTGGTCAACATTTACACGAGTGGTCTTAGAAGTCAGCATTTCTCTGTCACTCAAGTATGAAATATGGCCCTCAAGTTACTTTGTTTTAATCAGTTAATTTAACCTAACTTGTAGAAGTATATGTTTAATAAAATAAATTGAATATACATATTATAATGGATGGAGTACAGTATTATAAAAAATAAAAATAATAATAATGTCATTAAATTAAATTTTATTTCCAGTTGGTTAGTTTTACTATTTATTTCACTTTGTAGTGGTGGTTTCTGTTTTCCATAAGCATATAGCCATTATATTTTTAAAAAAAATATTGCCACTTGAGAGAAATATTTATCGTAAGCTTCATGCCCAAACAATCTAGTGAAGTAAGTGCATAGCTGTGTTTTGAATAATTAAGTCTTTATTAAAAAATGTACAAGGAGCCATGTAGCATTAATTTACAGTGAAATAATAATATAGCAAATTTCATCTCTACCATCTGTCGCTGAATCTTTATGATAATATAGACTTTTGATGTGAATGATTATATGCATTTTTGCATAATTGTATTTGCTTCTTTTTTCACCAATAGCTGACTCAGTGAGCCAACCTCCCTCTTGCCCAACAAGCCCGGTTGGTGGAGTCCAGTCGCCGGACCCGGATTCGGACCCTCACCCGCCGAGACACCGCCTCCAGCGGCAGAAGGCTCCAAGCCGCAAGACTTTCCGCTACAGAAAATCCCATCGAGGTGCTGGATGGGCAGCTCATACCGAAGCAGATGAGGAAAGTGGAGGTGAATCGATCGCTATGATTCCCACAAAGACTCAGCCTCCTTTGACAGAAGAAGACAATCCAAGTGCTGTGCCTGAAGTTCAGTTTATTCAGAAGCAAAGTGTGAGTATTTCTATTTACTTTAGGCTTAGGATGCATTCCTAGAAAAATAACTAAATTAAACAGTATTAAGGGGAAATTTTTAATCATGTAAATTTCATATTTTAGAAACACCAATATTGAAGCCGTTCGCGTAAAATTCTCTACCTTATTTTGAGCAATTTTGTAACTGTAAATGGGTGTTTGGGATCTGTCATGTCTAGGCCATTTATCTACTCATCATGTGCAGAGTATATCTGTGAATGGCAGTGCTTCAAGGCCGTTAGACTCAGTCATTAAAATATGAGACCACCACTGCCAATTTTACCATGGTTTGACAGAACATGTGATCTCTAGGCCAGACATATGTACCTTCCGTGCTGAAAAGTTAACTGACACACACATTTAAAATGAAGTTTAAAAGAAGATAAAATACTCTCTTTTGATACGCTAAATCAAATTTAAAGTAAAGGTAGGCTTTTGCAGACGATCTGTGTGCTTCGGACCTGGAATGTATGGTTTGATGAATGTCATCTTTTATTGATTTCTGCAAAGTTTTTATACTCAGAATCGAAGTCGAGATATATGGAAGATTAAAGAGAAAGCCTCTGTTGCAACAGAATTGATTTTAAGTACTTTTATAATTTGGTGACTGCTTTTACACTTGGGTTTGATGCTGGTTTGTCCCATTCAATTAATGTGGATGCTTGAAAAAGTATTTCACCACTGATATGCCATTTTCATTGATAAACTGATTGGCAGAAAATTTATATATCTTCTTTATGTTCAATAATTCATACTGATAGTTTCCTAGATGGTGAGCCTATGTATTGAGTTCCTGTAAAGATACAGACACAAAAATGTGAAGAAGATACTAATACAAGATTAATTACAATTCACTCAAGAATTGAATGGGGTAAGCCAAAAACTGAGCAGCTGAAAGATAGCCAAATTAGAGAAGTGGTTTAACCTCTTGACATACAATGACATCTGGGAGACGTCATTCATTTCATGTACCATTGCAGACTTTGACATCTCAGGGACATCAAGAACTGTCTTTAGCGAATGCCGCTTGGTATATTATTAGGTTCTTTATCTTTTTCAGTTGTGCATCGATCCTGTTTTGTTTAGATTATTTAAGATGTTTTCTCCTTCTCAGCAGTACTGATAAACAAAATCGCTTTGTCAAATCAGTAAAGAAAAAAAGCACAATGAAAGTGGTAGTTAGTATAAGCAGTGATCTCGCACACCGAACACCATAGTACATATTTGAATTTAAGAAAAATTATAAATAGTCCTAGCATTAGAAATAGTCCTCCTGGGCATTGCTGTTGTGCATTCATGAAAGTGAAAGCCGTATGGAGAGCCAGCAAAAGGGACCTTCATCCTGGAAGAGGTGTCAATAGTGCAGAAGTCTCAGATTGGTGATAAAGCTGATGTAAAGAATACAGTGTAAATACTCAAGATGCAAAAGAGCTCTAGTAATAGATTAAATTTCTGGAGTTTGGGCAGCAAAGAACATTTGTACTGGCAATGCCCTGCGCATAAAGAACTAAGTAGTGAAAATCATACAAAATAGCAGAAATTAGTAAAAGCAAAAAAACAGCTGTCAGTGTTCACCAATATCGCCATTCAGATTCGGTAATCAGAATATAATTAAATAGATCTTCATGCCACATGATTGTAAATACTTCAGTATTTTGTGAGCAGATATAGCCTAGCAAGTGGAGAAAAACCTTTGTATAGGACTTCATCTTTGCTGCTGTGGACTGGAAGCTGCTTGAGTTGGCTTCTGTGTGGGGTGTTGGCCATATGGTTAAATATCAACTACGATAGTCATACGAGTTCTGTTTGATTAACAGTATATAATATGGAAACAGATTAATGATGACATTTGACAGAACTTTATAAGAGAAAGATAAAATTGTAAAAGCATAACATGAACATATTTAAATTACAGCTGCTCAGGTTAGTGCATATTATTAGTGAGTTGTTATGAATACTGCAGCTCATTGAAAAATTCATTAATGTGACAACTCCTTCTAATGTTGGTTTCAAAAAGAAATGAAATGGCGAAAAAATTTTTAAAGCATTTTATTTTTCATTGTAATATTAAGTATTCATATTATTTACAGTTAATACACAGAACAAAATATGGATCAGTTTCTTTCCTTCAGATCTCAAGTATATTTTTCATTATTTTTGGCATGGTTTTGGCAGTACCAATGTATTCAAATATTGATTTTTTTTATTGACGAATTCAATGGTAGGGGACAAAATAGTCATTCTGCAGCAATCATCATATACAGGGTGTTCCAAAATGATCTTTCCAACTTTGATCATGTGTAAGAGTGAAATGATGATAAATAGAAAGTTGCAGTTTCTGGTATAATGTTCACATACACACATAATATATTGTTTTATAGCAACACCCAGGTGCAGCAGAACTCCCAGATGCACATACCCATGACGTGTGACCATCCAGCAATGGTGCACAAGTTTCAAGAAAACTGGAAGTATCATGAAGAGGATGAGTTTTGGATGTCTGAGCACTAGTGAAGCAGATGTGGGATGGGTGCAAAATCTAACCAAATCATTCTTCATGCGTTTCAACAGCTGCAGCTACCAATGACCACAGTGCACAGGGTGCTACAGAAGTGCCTGAAGCTGCTGCTGCAGCATCTGCTTCAATCTGATGACAAGCTAAAGCACAAAGCATTTGCAGTTGAGATTCTGAATCACATCATTGAGAACCCAGACTTTCTGACAAAGGTGATGTTCTTGGAAAAGTGTGCTTTCATGTGTTTGAGATGATAAACTGACATGTAAATTGTGTTTGGAGACTCCACATAAGTCAGAAAATCATGTGCAACAGTCCAAAGGTAACTGTGTGGTGGGAACATTTTTCTTCGCAGAGGTGTCAATCACCATAAGTGTTTATCTGAACATGCTGGAACAATTTGCATTTCCACATGACTGGTCAAACTTCCTGTACCCCCATTAGAGGCTTAACAGGGATTAGTAAAGCTATTTAATTAAAGAAACACTGATATCTAAAACAAGGCTTAAATCAGGCCCACTAAGCAATGGAACTTTCACCATACTACCTGGAATAACTTTAAATAGAATAAAAAACGAAAATATGAACTTTAAGTCTAGAAGTTGGTGAGATTTACCAGCTGCATCAACAAAAGCACATTATTACATACTCTGGAAAATATAACACATGTTATTTGCATGCATAAAAATATGTTACTTACATATGCAAAGAAAATAAAATAACAGAATATTATAAACATTCTAGTTTTCCTTTAAACAAACAGGGAAATTTTAAACACAATCAATATATAAATTCATTTCATTTACAGATACATATTTTATAAAATTTGGCAATTTTAATTTAATCACTGTATTTTTACTTAGATCCTTTAGAGTATTAAATTTAGCAATATGTGGAATAAATCTTAGAACAATATTTTTCATAGAAGAGCATCTAAACAACAGGTGCTCAATATCGACATTACTCATGCCACATGGACAGATTAAAATTTTTTAAATGAAATTTTAATCTGTTTTTTAATTTATTAAGCAATTATATTAAGCAATATAATTAAATAAGCAATATAATTAAATTTTTTAAGCACAATTTTAAACGAAAGCCTATTATAATAAAAGGGAAAGTGTCCATGATTAGTTAAAAGCTTGGTTTAAATTTTTGTCACTTAGGCATCTTGTCTCACTTACAGTTGAGATTAAATTATATGTGAATCTTCCTTTAGAATCTGGGTCCTTCCACTTTGCTTGTTATAGAGTCAAACTTTTTCTTTTTAACAAGGATTTCAAACTGTCAAAGGAAGTCTTTACTTCAAAATCAATAATTTGATTTTCAGTGGCAGCCTTTGCCAATTTATCTGCTAACTCGTTACCAATGGTACCAATATGACTCTTCGTCCAAAAGAGTTTAATATATCTAAAAGCGCTAAGAAAAATGCACACAGTGAACTGGAAGTGTTTCCATTCACTGGATTGGTCATGGAGAACCTATTGCATAGCCCCTCAAGATCTCCACACATAATCCCACTAGATTTATTTGTTTGGAGATTTGTGAAAGATGTGGTCTACAAGACCCTAGTGGGGAATCTGCAGGAACTGTGAGCTTGCATCAGTGTAAGTCACATCCGGGCATTCCTCTTTCCATCTAAATAAATAACACTAAGAGGTCTCTTGTCCCACCGAACCAGGGCAACCCCTGCCCTTGCACCTTGGAGAAAGATGCATCGCTGATCATTATGATTTACTACCTGCCAATCATTCGGGCTGCCCGCCGCAGAGGATCAGTACTCCGCATACCCAGAATGCCTACTACAGCCCTTGGGCTCTGGGACACGCTAGACCCATGGACTGACGAATGAGTGATCTTTCCGTGTCCTCCAGAATCATTAGGTTCATAATTTGTATACCACTGTAGTCAAGACTGCCTAACTACAGATCCTAGCCAATAGTTTTGCAGAGTTCTCTACGTTGTTTCCCAGTGGGGGTGTTGCATCACTTGAACATGTTACAGAGAACATGCTAAGCCAAACAGGAGCAGAACTGGGATATTGCTTAGATATCCTGCATGCTATAAATGGCACACACACTGAACTCTTATTAATGGCTATTAAAACTTTAGGTGTGTGTGAACATTATGTCACAAACTGAACCTTTTCCATTTCTGACTTATATGCGATCAAAGTTAGAAAGATCATTTTGGAACACCCTGTAGTATGCAGTCTGTTTTTCTCTCTACCTATTCAACAAAACATGGAGAATTTTTCTCAGAAAGCATCAAAAGACTGAACTCATATGTGAATTATTAGCAGAACCTACCTAGGCAAGACAAAAGTATATAAAATCTTGAAATTACATTATAGTATTTCAAAGAACAATGTTCATTTTAAAAAATGCAAAAGGCTATATTTTTTTAAAGGATTCTATACCAATTATATACCTTATGAAGTTAGAATAATGTTTTATAAATTGCTAAAAGAAACAATGTAAATGTTCATAAAAGTTACTAATATCATGAATTCGGTGCATTTTTATCAGATTCAGAATAAAAATGCATTATAAAACCTGCAGTTATTGCTTTTAAATTGCTTAATTTATTTAACAAACAGAATAATTTAAAAGATAAATTACATAGCTTACACTTTGTCAAATGGTAAGTGCTATCTTACATTAGCAACTAGAAAATAAAAGTATTTTGTTTTGGATACTAGTCGCCCATTGCTTTTGAATCACTCTTCTTGTCTTTTCTTCTAGAAACAGAAATTGGCCACTCAAGGAGGTGAAGATTCTCCTGTTGAACGTAGAGCAAAGCGCCATGTTAAAAAAAGATTTCGGTCACACTCTCAATCTCCCACTAGTCCCCTCTCCCCGGGCGAAAGTCACCATGCCTTAGGCGACTCCATCGAATCTTTAGGCTCTGGGGAGAAGAGCACACTGTTGCAAGAAGGAGAAAGCCAAATGGAAGAGTCACAGGCATCATTGTTGATGGTTTTCCCGAGTAAAGATGATGATAATACATGTGTGTAGTTTTAAAAAAATCTAATATGTCTGGCAGGATGTTTTAAATTCTGCAGTATGATGGCAATCACTATCTTAAATATTAATATTATATTACAAAATTTTAAAATCATTTTAATTTTTTACCGTTTGATTTACCCAGAGGTTCCTGCAAAGCAAAGTCTATAAATTTATTCCTTATATATTTTTATAGTATAAAATGATTTTACCTTTCACTTACACAAATGATTGTAGGAAGTACCCCATATGCTCCTGAGGTTTTGAAATATTGTTGGAACATTCACTGAACAACGAAATTGTGTATACCGATATACCTAACAAGTTTTCTATATTTTTCTTTTCAATATCTCTCATTAGTTCCTGATTAAATATATTCTCACCATTCAATGGCTGGTAAACAGATTTTGGGAAATCATTGTAAGGCTATTATTCCAGAATCCAAATTTAATTAGCCACAGTAAATTAATTATGAATGCAGGTTTTAGTGAACTGTTATGTATAGAAATGTAAAAATTTTCCTCCACTTTCCCCTTCTATTAAAAATAATATAAGTGGGAAAATACTTTTTTGCTGTTAATTGCATTTATGAGTTAAATTTTTATAGAAATTTTCATTTTTTTAAAAAAAAGTGATTCACTCAACTGTATCTTTCATCAATGTGTCTGAATTTATAAATTTACTTTTTTTCATTTTGTACAGATTTATGCTCTTTTGTATTACATTTTTCCTGTGCATTTTTTACACGTAACAGCCATCTAGAATATATCTAGAGATAAAATTTATCCACTAGAAAATTTTTTAAAAATTTCAAAAACTAATATTTCACTTTGGGATGATCGTGTATTTTTAGTGTCCTAAAATAAATGTTAAATGAATATTTTATAATTTAAGTTAAGAAGAGTTTCTTGCGTTTTTATTTATTTATTTTTGTTACATTTTGTATGTATATATGTATGTGATAGTCTTGAATTCTGTGAATTATATTTTTATATGCATTTTTCATTTCCAAAGATATTTTCTTATATGTGTATAAAAGTGATATTTTCTTTTATCAGTTTTTTTATTTTTATTTTATTTTTTTTTTTTTTTTTTCAAACTGTTTCTGTTTTTATTTAAATAATTTAGAAAGAAATTATGTTAAAGATATTAGTTCTGTGGTCTGGTAAGTTTAAAACTTAATAGTGCAAAAGTTAATATGTTGATATGTAAAATTATTAGAAGAAAGTTTATTGCATTTTATACTAAGTGTTTATGATGTTTAAGGTGTTGAGATGTTCTTCACTAGCATGTCTAGAGCCATCTGGAAAAAGAAGTCATAGCAAGGGGATCTTTAAATTTATCCTTATGTTATTGTAATCATATGCATAAAAATAACTGATATAAAACTAAATTAATCTGAGGAGTTTTTTCATATTATGTTTTTCTTCATGAATCATTTCCATTTAATAAAAGTTTTATTATCTTTTTTAGTACTATTACATTTAAGTAGTAATTCTTTGATTATAATGGTCGCATTAAAACTTGTAAAATAGTATCCTCTTTATATTAAACATATATTTTATAAAATAAATATCGAAAATAATATTAATAAATGTAATTCTAAAAAATTATACCTGTTTTAAACTGTGAAATAATTATCTGAAAATTTAATTGCTACCTTTCTGATACATATTGGATGTTTTTTATTATTATTATATTACTCCTCCATATGAAAGGATTAAAAAACAGTCTCACATGCGCTGGAGATAAGGTGTTTTATTCTCTACAGTGTTGCCACTGCTCACTTTAAAATTGAGTTTTTTAATAAAAAAAATTCTAAATTCGAGTTCGCCATATATATTTGGCCATGTTCAAGTAAGAGGACTACATTATTCAAAATTGGATAACTTTAGGTACCATTATTTTTTCATCAAATGAGAAACATACATTCATGTAGCTTCTTCAGCATTTAGTTTCTTTAAATATAATACAGGGTGATGATATTTGGTGCAACAATTTTAAATGATGTATCGCATTTAAGTGATTCAATAAAAAAAAAAAAAAAAAAAAAAAAAAAAGCAGTTTCGAGACTAATAGTTCTTCTGGGCTAAGGCCTCTTTTGGCTAATAAGCAGCAGTGTTGGAAAGGAAATGGCAAAAACACTTTCCCTTTAAAAAAATTCTGTCATGCAGTTTTTATGAAATACTTTTGCTTCCAGGAAGGATTAAGTGGAGGACTGTAGAAGTTTGAAATAATATATAAAATTCCTTAATCAGGACTCTAATTTCAGTCATATTGAAGCTGTTAACGAACATGAATTTTTGTGTTTTATAACATTTTGTCTGATTCATAGAAAATGTTTTTCTTTGAATGTCATTTTAGTAGAAAATTTGTGCCAAAAGCATTTTGAATGTTTTATAAAAAGTACAAGTCGTAATTAATATTTATAAATATTTTTGTGGTAGTGCACATATTTTTCTAGATTTAAATATCGCATAATTTTTCAAACTGATCTAATTTCATTTCTTATTTATTGTTACAGAATTAAATATTCTGTACTGATCAAATGAACTTTTAGTAATGAAATTTGATTGCAAGGCTTTATTTAAGCACAAAAAGGATTCAGCACAAATAACTAAAAATATTTTTTATACTTTTTATTGTTGAAAATTCGAGCCTTTTAATCTAATTACTAAATATATAGCAGTTATGATTACATGATATAACTATTTTATTAAAAAATAATTAACAAAATGAAGTTTCTTATCATTAAATGAATAAATGTTATTATTTTTCTTAAATTATGATAAGGTAAATACTTTAAAAAATTTTGTAGAAAAAATTAGTATTAAGGTTAAATTTAATTTTTGAAATGTTTTCATGTGCAATTTCCGAAGGCTTACTGTTTGATAAAGATATTATTGATAAATATATATTATATATTTTGATGTACGTTGTAAATAGTTTAAATTTTAAATGTTTTAATGTGTTATGTTTTATTAAGAAGTGATCTTTCTTGACATTTTATAAATTTCCTGACTATATATGCATTTTACATGATATGAAGATAAAAATTTTATTCAGCTGATGGAGGAATACTTTTCTTTGCATGAGGTATGGCTTAATACTTCAGAATCTTTCTCAAATAGGAATTAATAAAATTCAGAGATCTAGAATACAAAATTTTGTTATTTTATTTTTTCAAAAAATAATCAAGAATTTTTTTTTTTTTCTTTCCCTCGTGTTATTTAACATTTTAAAGCTTTTATCTGTGTCTGATGTTAATCTAAATCAGAACTTGAATTATTGCTTATCTCAGATAGTATTGGCTAGAATAAATTTTTAATTTTAGCTTTGTTACCATGAATACATTTTATATATTTATTTCCTCAGAATGTTTTTAATGTTTCCTAAATGTATTTTTATTTATTATTTTTATAGTTTATGATATTATTTATCACTTCCTTTTTGCATTGTGCATGTGATTTTATTAGTTATAAAACTATGATTTATACTTATTGGGACTGATTTCAAGCCTCAATGTTAAGAAGAATGTTCAACTAGCTGCAGGCTATTAAAATTGTGATAAAAAAGATGAAAATGTTTTAACTAGTATGTAAAGTAATATGTGCTCTCGTTGTGGTTAAAATATGAACTCCTTATGAAGACAAATTGCATCAAATTGACTTCTGAAATGCATAGAGCTTTTCCAGTTTTAAATCAAAACCAATTTTAAGGTTGAATTTTTCTTGTTTTTAAAACTCGCATTAATATTCCTTTCTTACCTGTACATTAATCTAATGGAATGGTAGATTTCTTAAATAGTGAAAATATTTATCTGGATTGAATATTACTGAGTAAAGATGCAGAGCTCATTGCCAAAAATGTCTTCAGCTTTTAATCATGCATAAATATACTTTTACATTATATGACTATTTTAAAATGGAAATCAAATATTCATAATTTTTCTGTTGCTATAGCCTATATACTAGAGGGAAAAAAAAATGATGAAATATAATCCTGGATGATATTTTAATATGAATGCTTTGTTTTACTTTTTGTTTCCTTATTGATAGTAGTAAAACATGTATGCAATGTGTCTAATACAGATTAATAGTATGCAGGAATTAATAAATAGCTAATATGGATAAATTTTAGCTAGAAGATTATGTGTTGGATAAAATGTATGTGAGTTGTTAATCAAAATGTAGCGTCCTTTAATGTGTGATATACAGTGGTTTTTACAAATTACTGAACAAAACTTTCAAAAGTTATTCTAAGAAAAACTATTTCATGAGACAACGATGAAATATTGATGAAATATATAATATATTTCTTAACCAATTGGTAGTTGAAAATTTTAGTCAACTGTTTGCTGATAGGTTTTACCATTTGATAAGCAAAAAGCATTATACTTCTTAATTTGCAAAAGTGTCAATTGTCATATTTCTACATTTTAATTATGAATAACAACTAATTAAATCAGGCATTGTAATAGTTGTTTTTGAATTAATCTATATAGACATTTTTTAAAGTGTTCTGGCAAGTAAAATAATTTTATTTATCATATATTTTGCATCTTTTCATAATATATAATATTCTTGCATTATTTCCTTAATCAGCAAACAATTGAATTATGCTACAAACTGAACTATGTTTATAGGTATAGATAAATATACTTATTAAATGTTATTGTTAGTTATGCATTTGTCAACATTCTTACTGCTGTTGCCTCTTGAATTCAGGGTGACATAAAGTCGGTCATAATTCAAAAAAGACATGCTATAAACTAAGCAAGAATGTAGTATTATTGTTTGAAATAAGAGTATTGGAATATTCAAGTGGAAAAGTGATTTTTTTATACCTCTTGAAACAATCTGGAATGTGTAATTCTATATAAATTTCTAATTTGAAGCAGACCTTTAATAATCTTTCTAAATATTTTTGTGTTTATTTCATTATTGAGTATCTTTCAGTTATTAATATTGATTCCATAGTAGCTTCATTAAATTATTTTTAAATTATATGCAGGAAATGATAAACGATAGCAGGTGTAATATACGTAATTTCTACTTGGAAGCCAGTAATAATTAGCTTTACCCAATTGATTTTTTATAGTATATCTTATGTATGTTAGTTATTCATAATATTTTTAATATTTTAATTGCAGTAAAAGCAACATACAGTAAAGTCTAGTAAACAAAGATAAAGTAGGTATCGCCTGAGGATGTGAATCTGAAAACTGCTTTTTCAAATCACCATTCATTGCAGATATTTTTGCAAGAGTCGGCGTATTGTCATCATTTGTGTGCTATATGCAACATATAAATCCAAATTTATATTCTAAAATGAACTTTAAAAGCAAATGACCTGCTGCAATAAGGAAGCAATTAAAAAACAAATAGGCTAATAATTTTTATAAAGGACATAGTCAAAAGGTAAGTCATGTTATATTGCATAAATAAACTTTTATAATAATCTTTTTATGTATTAAACATATTTTGTATACACGAACACTGTGAACTGCAGAGATATTACTTCTCAAAATTATTGACCTTGATACTTTATTTCAACTGTAATTTTAATGTTTTCCAAAATCTACTCATTATGTTACCATCTAAAGTGTTTGCTTGCTCAAATGATAAAAACGGGTACACCTGAGTTTAAGAGGCAAACATATATTAGCAATGTAGTTGCAGATTAGAATGTTTGTGTATAGCTTATGCTTTGTGATATTAATGGTACTTACATATTATAGCTGCTATATATGTTATATATATATATATATATATTATATATTTAACTGAAATGCTAGTTTTGGGGGCATAAATATTTGTCGATATATGCATTTTGATTATTTTTGTGTAACCTGCCAATATTAAATAAAAGGCTTGCATATAAAAGCACTGCTATGCCAAACAAAAACCTAATTAGATCTTGTTGTGATATTTGGCCAAATTTATAATGTCTATATAATATAATTATTATACTGTATTGATTGTTATATATTGTGTATTTGTATGTTGTGAAATATAGTCTAAAAACAGATAGTGTGTGAATTCTTTAGAACATTTTAACAAATGAAAACACACATTTATTTCACGTCATTTGATAAAACATAAATTTTATCAAAGATAATAAATTATTGCATTAGAATTTAAAGTGTACTAACTAGCTTTATTAACTTAATTCAAATATTCACTTTTTGTTTTAGTGTATAATTTTTTGTTTGGTAATATCACACTTGATTGTTTTACTTGTGCTATTTGCTCATTCCTAACAGCATTATTTTTATATTTATGCTTTCTACGTGTACTGATATGTTTTATTTTGGAAAGTATACATTCTATTACATATTTACTCAGTTTCAAAAAATCACTGTCATATTATAATCCATCATAATTGTTCCAGATTTCACTTGCGGTAACCAGCGGGAGATTGCGCTGATGACTTCATGTAAGTACTAGTACATTTGTTGAGGTTGTGTAATAACTACTTC